CGAAACAAAATCTATTGCATCAGGTCAAACGGAAATGGAGGGACGATTTGGCGGACCCTCACAAAAATTAGTGGTTGTTCCTATATAAGAGTCGATGTATGCCCATTCATGCCCTCTAAACTGCTCGCTGGAACCAAAATGTGCATGATCTTGCCTCTCACAAGGTCTTTGCTCCTGCTTTCTGTACAGCAACTTTAACATACTGAGTATTTTTCTTCAATTCCTCATCTCCCTGTCATGATCATTTCCTGCTATGGATCAGACTTACCGATGCTGTAGCTTACGTTCCTCGAGGGTATTTACTCGAGGGTATTGGTCAACAAGCCAATGCTGGTATGCTCGAGAGATGGCCCAAGTAAGTTTGCAATAAGTCCTAAGCGGGATTTACATATTCACAGGCAAGGACCGGTCCTGAACCAACAAGCGAACATCTTCAGTCAGTCTATGTATTGGTTGAACAATTGCATTCAAAAACATGCATCGATGGGAAAATATCAATACGAGCATGTCGAGATGTCCAGCGCCATCTGACGCCACAGATTGCGCGCATCGCACGGTACCCGCGGAGCAAACCTGGGCGGACCATTTCATGCGTGATTACGCCTAATGCCCCGGTTAAAAAAGTACCTTTTCGTCTTCTGGCTTCACGACGTCAATGTAAACCGTGGTGGGGTGCTCGATGTGATGGTCCACCGGCTCAAATACATAAACCGCCCAGCCGGCTTGACAGACTCACAATTTGCATTCAATTGGGGATACGGATGAATGGAGTTCAATAGAGGCAAGGACAATTGAGTTTGACCCCTGACCGATCTTTTCCAGCGCCGGCATCTTCTTCTAAGTGATCATCTTAGCTGTGTCAGAGCGGCGGCTCCGCGGAAGCCGACAAGCCTCCAATGCTCATGCTTTGCAGTCCTAGCTTTGCTGTCGAAAATAACTAATCGTATTTGATTCCTGAAATCTTTTCAGGGTCTGTATCTTTTATTTCTTTTCTTCTTGTTCTTCTTATTCTTCTATTTTGATTCCAATCTTGCACCTCGCCCCCTTGCTACCCACGCTCGTTCTACATTACAGCCTTCTACATCCACTTTGCGACTGTATCGCCGGCCGACCTAATTCACGACGATTAGCTGACATGTCTAGAAATGAATATGAATCGTACGCCGAACGTGAATATCAAATGGATGATATGCGTAGTGGTATGAGCGTCAGTGTGAGTCTCATCCGAGATCCCCCCCAACCGAGCATGTATCAGAATCTGACACACAACCCACAGTATCATGCTCCCCCAGAATCCAATGATGGACGGGATTCGATGCTTTATCCAAATCAAAATCCATATAGTCCATACGGGGGAGATCGTCAAGCCAACACGTACCCGCCAGAGTACGGCGACGACCGAGCGCCTAGCAGCGTGTATCCAAGCGCAGCGCCTGGCGACGTGCCTGGGGACTTCGACCAGATGCTAAACAATGGGTTCATGTACCAACCGCCGATATCGCCCGTTTCCGAAGCCCCTGGGGATGGCCGGGAACTGCCTGTATTGCAGAGGGCCGAGATCCCCGGCGGCACAAGTCTTCGTCGACGCAATACACGAATGGTCAAGCTCGTCAAGGGCTCTGTGCTCAGCGCCGATTATCCTGTTCCAAGCGCGATCAAGAATGCTCTGGAACCACAATATCGAGACAGCGGGGAAGACGAATTCCTCAAGATGCGATATACTGCTGCTACTTGCGATCCGAACGACTTCACAATACAGAAGGGATATGACTTAAGGCCTCGGATGCTTAATCGGCATACAGAGTTGCTGATTGCAATCACGTACTACAATGAAGACAAGGTCCTGCTGGCTAGGACGCTTCACGGAGTCATGCTCAACGTCCGCGACATTGTCCGACTGAAGAAGTCAACATTTTGGGGCGCTGGAGGCCCTGCCTGGCAAAAGATCGTTGTCTGCCTCGTCTTTGACGGCATCTCCAAAGCCGACAAGGAGGTCTTGGATGTGCTTGCAACCGTCGGAGTATACCAGGAAGCTGCCCTGAAACAGGACGTGAACGGCAACAAGACTGTAGCGCACATCTTCGAGTACACCACCCAACTTTCGATCACGCCAAACCAACAGCTTATCCGCCCCAATGCTGACGACAGCCAGAAAAACCTGCCCCCTGTGCAGCTAATGTTCTGTCTGAAGCAGGACAACAGCAAGAAGATCAACTCCCATCGTTGGCTTTTCAATGCATTCGGGCGCATCCTGAACCCAGAGGTGGCCATCCTGATTGACGCGGGCACGAAGCCTAGTCCGCGGTCACTCCTTGGGCTCTGGGAGGCATTTTACAACGACAAGCAGCTCGGAGGCGCCTGTGGTGAGATCCACGCGATGCTTGGTAAAGGGAAGAGGAAGCTGTTAAACCCCCTCGTGGCCGTTCAGAATTTCGAGTATAAAATATCGAATGTCCTGGACAAGCCGCTTGAGAGTGCTTTCGGGTATGTTACAGTTCTACCTGGAGCCTTTTCAGCGTACCGCTTCCGTGCAATCATGGGACGGCCCTTGGAGCAGTACTTTCATGGAGACCATACGCTGTCGAAGATATTGGGGAAGAAAGGAATTGACGGCATGAACATCTTCAAGAAGAATATGTTTCTAGCAGAGGATCGTATCCTCTGCTTCGAACTTGTTGCCAAGTCGGGCCAAAGCTGGCATCTCTCATATGTCAAGGCCGCCAAGGGAGAAACCGACGTCCCCGAAGGAACCGTCGAGTTCCTTAATCAGCGACGACGGTGGCTCAATGGATCGTTTGCCGCTTCGCTGTACTCTTTGATGCACTTTGGCAGGATTTACAAGTCAAGCCACAGCTTCATCCGAATGATATTTCTGCATATTCAACTCATCTACAACTTTCTCAACGTTCTGTTTAGTTGGTTTGCTCTCGCCTCTTACTATCTCACAACGGCCATTATCATGGATCTCGTGGGAACACCTGAGATTCTTCTGGCTTACCATGGCTGGCCCTTCGGTGACAGAGTAACGCCCGTCTTTAATACCCTGATGAAATACGTATACATCATCTTCATTATCATCCAATTCGTCTTGGCCCTTGGAAACAGGCCAAAAGGCTCACGGCATACTTACACGGCATCTTTCATCGTGTTCGGGATTTCGCAGCTTTACATCTTGATTTTGTCCATGTATCTGGTATACAGAGCTCTCAGTGTGCCCATCGAAAAGCAGATCTCGTTTGCATCAGGGCAGGATGTTCTCAACAGCTTCTTCGGCGGTGAGGGCGCGGCCGGAGTTATCCTGATCGCCCTGATAACAATTTACGGCCTAAACTTTGTCGCCTCGTTTCTTTATCTCGATCCTTGGCACATGTTCCATTCCTTTCCTCAATATCTCATCCTCATGTCAACTTACATCAATATCCTGATGACGTTTGCATTCAACAACTGGCACGACGTCTCATGGGGAACAAAAGGGTCGGACACGGTTGAAGCGCTTCCTTCCGCCCATGTCGTTACAGATGGTGCAAACGGGCCTGCGGTGGAGGAGATCGAGAAAGAACAGGTGGACATCGACACAGAGTTCCAAAACACGGTGAAGAGGGCCCTGTCACCCTTCAAAGAGGAGGAAGAAATTGAGAAAATCGACGTGGACGACTCGTACAAGTCATTCAGAACTGGCCTCGTTGTCACTTGGATTCTCACCAACATGGCATTGATCGTGGGCGTTACCAGCGATGAATTTGCCAGTTTGGGGGTTGCTGTAAGTTTGTTCCTTTTGGAGTACTAAAGATGAAGTTGAATGGCTTTGCTAACTAGTGTTTTAGAAAGCTTCCACGGGAAGAACTCCTATGTATTTCAGAACTCTACTGTATGCGACGGCCTTGCTTTCCATTGTCCGTTTTATCGGGTTCTTGTGGTTTTTGGGGAAAGCCGGTATTATGTGCTGTTTTGCGAAGAGGTAGGAGGCATGAAGTGATTTCGGTCTAATCGTAACGGCTCAAGATGCAAAGCCTCATTTCATTATTGAATTGCCTAAGTTGGACATAGATAGACATTTTAAACGGTTGGTAGTTGTGGATTATGGCGGATTTTCTGCTGGTTTTCGGGATAGGATAAATTGTCTGAGCTTGATCATAGAAACGTGAAACGGAATGATTCTTCTGATAAGAAATCACCATCTTATTTTTTATACGTAACTGTCGAAATACAAATACAAATCCCTCTTCCTCTCATCCGCTTTTAATCATGGTGGCAGAGCCCGCTCTTCTGCGTTTTTGGTTTTTCAAAGGCTGCAAGTAGGGGATATCCTAAGATCAAGCCCTATATAAATCATTTTATAATTGAATGACAAGGTAAATGAAACTTAGATGAATTCTTGGATATCTCAGTCCTAAACTCTTACCTACAATGGCTTAATCTTTACTATTTCATTTAAGATAGGTATCCTTTTTCTAACAGCTATCTATACCTGAAGACCAAAGATAAGCTAAACCCTTGTAACTCGCACCACCGTTGTTTGTTCCTTTGTTTGCTTTATATCCTCTCTATGTTAGAACGTAACGTTGTTGCTGAAGTTCAGAGATTTCAACCATCAGATGTTTACATACAGCAGTGGAAAGTGTTCCTCGAATGCGAGTGGTTGCCAAGACCCCAGAGGTCATACAGTGTGGGATATTATCTGCAAGCTGGAGGCAGAGTTTCATACAGATAATGCGCCCCAGAAGGTCTCATTTCAGTCGTTTTCACTCGCATCGATTTCCAGTCCCGCCCCCAAATTATGTTTGGATGAGCCAACACCAACACCAACAGCCAACAACGTTTGCACATATACGTGGCAGGTAAGACGACGGTGGAATCTATTGGTATGATTTGTCATCAGGGGACTGTTTTGAATATTTGGTAATACCCAAAGGACACATAAGCTCGTTATTTTTTGCTTAGTTGCCACTGACGAAAACCCCCGGCGAACATCACCGTCTTCAAACGCTCATCTCTTCGTCATGTCCAAGCAAACCATCTTAATCACTGGCTGCAGCGATGGCGGTATCGGCTCTGCACTGGCCATTGTCTTCCAAAAGCGAGGATTTCATGTCTTCGCTTCTGCACGCGATCCCACCAAAATGAGCACGCTCAAAGATCTCCCTAACATAACACTTCTCACGCTTGATGTGGTTAAATCTAGCATGTTGTTGACACCATCTCGGAGAAAACCAATGGCACTCTGGACTTTTTGATCAGCAATGCTGGGCGTAACCACTTTATGCCAATTCTAGATGAAGATCTTGATACTGTCAGAAATCTCTTTGAGATTAATTTCTTTGCCCCAATCGCCCTTGCTCAAGCCTTCGCTCCTTTACTCATCAAGGCCAAGGGGATGGCTGTCTTCATTGCCTCCACAGCAGGGTATCTGAATATTCCCTACATGGGTAATTGCTCCTGCCATAATAGCTCCCTACAGATTTTGTGCTAATAAAAGCAATATAGGTACATATTCAGCATCTAAAAGAGGGATGGAAGTTGTAGCAGACACCCTGCGATTCGAACTGGCCCCCTTTGGTGTTGATGTGCTGGAAGTGGTGACAGGCGGGGTCAAATCAAGGGGACAGACGTATTTCGGCGATTTCAAGCTGAGTTCCTTGTATAAGAAGATTGAATCTACCGTTGCCAATCGCGCCCAGGGAGGGGACGGGATGCCGAGGATGGATACCGAGGAATATGCCGCAGCAGTCAGCGACGCGATCCTCAAACGTACCACAGGCCGATTTTGGTGTGGTCAGCACGCCGATCAAGTTCGAATGGGCACAACAGCAGTGGAAGTACCGCAAGAAGCCATGGATGCTGGGGCTGTGATTGGGACTGGCCTTGAGGAATTACCTTAGACATGAGGAAGATAGAGCTGTCTACTATCAATCGCAATCGTGACAGGTTCCGATGATTAGATCGTCCGAACCGCAAAACTATTCAGAGCTTTCGCTTAGCACATTAAGTTATATACCTCCCTGATCAGTGTACTACTAGTGCTGCAGCGATATTTGGCTAGAGTTAGACATACTGACTCGAAGGATATAGCGACGGAGTTATTATGACCATTGACTCTAAGGATATAACGACGGAGTTATAAGCCTAGCCCGTAGCTTAGTACTTCATGGGGAGTCACACGGCTAATCTCGGACCGTTCAGTAGGCCGCTTAAATAAAAGATCACTAACAGGTCCCAACAGACTCGGAAGACCGGCGGCTGCGGAAGAGTTGATCGGACCGCCCTATCCGCCCCTCCTTGTTGTCATCAGGGTGTATAAATGACAGAACGAGCCGACTAATCCTATACCCTTCTCCATTCCAATACTATCACCGTAGACAGTCAGCAATAATCATGATGGCGAACCATTTCCTCAAGCCTGCTTTTTCTTTGATTGATCATGACGGTCGCAGGGTTGATGAAACAACCTTCCGAGGCAAGCCGACGATTGTCTTCTTCGGTTTCACCAACTGTGGTGTTGTCTGCCCACGAGCTCTTGCCCGCCTGACAACTGTCATTAACAGTCTCAAAATCACTACCGACCAACTCAACGTCTTGTACATTTCGGTAGACCCAGATCGGGATTCGCCGGAAGTCATGAAGTCGTTTCTGGCAGGGCGTGCCCCTCACTTCACCGGCTTGACCGGCACGCAGGCAGAGCTTGAGTCGGCTCGTAGGGGTTTCCGCGCATTCGCGAATGGAAAGCGTGATAATGATACACCAGACAATTACGACGTTCCACATACGGCCATCACTTATGTATTAAATACTGACGGCTGTATGGTGGACCATCTTCATGACAGCCTCAGCGACACGGAGATCACATCCCGTCTCAAGCGTGTCATGGATGAAGCACACCAAAAGGATCGGACTATTAACACCGCTCCCTCGACAGAAATCGGTCGAGATAACAATACTGATGAAAGCTTGAATGTATTGGATAAGAAACAGGTCGCCAGCATCAGACATATCGGCAACCTAGCTCGTCAGCTCAAGGGTGACTGGTCGAATATGATGGGCCCGACAGACCTGAATGACGGGTTTGGTGCCTACCGGTTCCAGCTCGCCTACGGTTTCTATGCATTGGCTTTGGCGCACTTCCATAGGCTTCCAGCGGCTCCTGGATTATTCCAAGACACTATGGAGCGGATGATTGAAAAGATGTGCCATCCAGATGTCTGGTTTTACTGGCGTGATGCTAGCACCGGCGGGGGGCTCGCTAGAACACCAAGAAAAGAGCCAGATGCAAACCCCATTGAGAAAGACAACATCATGTACAGCGCCTACCTGCAGACAATGACGCTTCTTTACCACAGCATGTTTGACGATGATCGCTACACAAAGCCTGGGTCACTGAAACTAGAGTATGACCCGTTCTTCTGGGGTGAACCTGGAGGATTCCGCTTTGACTATGACCAGAATTCGCTCAACGATCGGGTCTATTGGAACATGGTTGAGAGCGGATATCTGGGTGTCGCCTGCGAGCCCTGGTGCGTGTTCCAGATCTGCAACCAACCACCCATCATTGGCTTCCGCTTAAACGATCAACTCACCGGCAGTCAAACCGCCGATGAAGTCACCGCAGGCTATGTTAAAGCCTGGGAGGATTTTGGCGGCTCCATTGAGCCGGAGGGAGGCTATCGACTTTTTGTTGCCAGGCATAACAATATGGTGGCACCGAGCCCTGGAACGGGCATGGATGCTTGGTGTGCTTTCTTGATGCACTCGTGGAACCCAGACTTCGTGGAAAAGAACTATGAGCGCCAACGTGCCAAGGCCTTGGTTCGACACGGGGACGGTACACTGTCAGTCAACGTCAGGATCATCGATGGACAGTCGAAAAATACCACCTTACTATTACAAGGTGCTGAATTTGGCTGGTTTGCTGCCCTGGCTGCAGAAATGGGTGACGAAACCACACTTAAGGGACTCCTGGACTACGCTGACAATAAATTCCGCCCCCGTTACCAGGATGGAGGGTTGTTGTACCCACGGAATGACAACATCTTCGACACGCACGGCCAATACAGTATGAACTCCCCGATTCAGTCCAACGCACTTCTTCCACTTTCCCGTTTGAACGTGACTGGTGGACTGAAGCGCCTCTACGATCAGCCGTGGGGTCCGAAGAACCGCGATCATTACGGAGAACCAGCGTTGACCAGCGTTGACTTCTCTATCGATGTTTATCGCGCAGTATATGATTCGAAACGGCGAGTTTTGCTCTTCGATCTTGCGGTCTACGAACCCGAGATGACGGGGAAAGTTGAGCTTTCTAGAGTTTTCGGGAGGGGGGAATGGACTCTCTCCCGTGATGGAAGAGAGATAGCACGCGGCGACAGCGAAGCCTTGACCAGTAACGCATTAGAGAAGGGCATCGAGCAAAGTGGGAAGGAGTTGATATTATCAATCACCGAGGCAGAGGTGACATCCTTTGTCATTCTGTGGCTCTAGATACTACCTAAGGTCAGGCGAGACACCACACGGCGATCCAGACAGATAGAATTCAAGTCGATGTAGCAGCCGAACCTGACTAAATCAATTGAACAAAGTTGGGAATTTCACTTTCGAGTTTTAAAAAACTAAGAAAGATAAGTTCAAAAAAGTGTCTAAGTTTTACTTCATATAAAAACCCATTCTTCTGCTATACTATTCTAGTGCAGCAGATTGGTATGACAATCATGATACTGGTCTGACTCCAGTTCAAATCTTCCAAGCACCATACAGGAAATGACTGCGCAGTTGAGCCCGAAAATTATGCCTACGTTTGATGCCGGGGACGCTTCCCATTCGTTTCCCTCCCGCAGTGCTTCACTCGGCTTGTCCCGTCAATCGATGGATGATCGAGGCAGGTTCCAGGTTCCAAGTTCAATGTTTTGGGCGGTATAAATACTTACAACACGATCAACGTTGGTAGATGGGCGTGAAGATGAGATATCCTGGATGTATTGTGTACAAACTTAAGCCTTCTTATGAAATATGCCGTTACGCACGTTTATTCAATTCATTCTGAAGATACGCCATGACCCCCTAGGCTTTGCTGGTCCCCTCCCTCTTGGCTCCCTCCGGGTCAAAAGCAGACACTTCAATTTCAACCCACATATTATCCCCGCCGAGTCTACCAACTTGAACACAGGTCCAAGTAGGATGGTTGTCAGGCATCCACTTCTTGAAGTTGCGTACCATCGCTTCTTGTGAAACCGGGTCTAGTTGGACATGGAATGAATTGACTCGATATACTTGAGACCAGCCAGCGCCACCCGCATCCTTGAGAGCTATGTCAACGTTGACAAAGGCCTGGTCGATCTGCTCAACGATGGTCTTGGGCTGTGTGCCGTATTCATCGAGGTAACCTCCTATCAGGCATAGAGTTAGCTGACGTGGACAGATGTTCAGAGTCTAACGTGCTTACCCTGCCCGGCACAATGAATGAAATCACCGGCTCGGACGGCTGACGAGTACCAGTAGTCTCTCTGGTTGTTCTCGCCGAAGCCTTTGTAGGCATACTGTTTCATAGACATGGTATACGAGCTGGTGATTTGAGTTAAGGTAACGGAGAAGATTTGCATGGACAGGCTGGAGGCCTAAGAACGATTTTATACTACATTTATCTCTATGGCCTGTGCTATACCTGTCGCTCATTACTCATGATGCCGATACCATGAGTGGCGGATCAGCAGCGGAATGTGTATTCCGCCACAGTGGAACATACATTCCGCACTCCCCTCCCCCACATCCGTATGTCATGTTGCGCTTCTTTCAGCCGCGTAACGAAAAAAAAGGGACTAAATGTGTTGCCTTCCACCGTGTATTGCCCACCATCATGAAGAGGGAGAATACAACTACAGCCTACGAACCCTGTAGGAGACGGCAGGCCAAGGTGCTGGAGCCCCGAAACGAAATGTAACCAACAGTAGGAGATAGATGTGTAAGCTCGAACGAAAAATCTTGTTCTCAGAGTCCCTGCAGTGGCTGCTGGATGCAAGAGGCAACAGCCAACACCCAGGCTTCACCACCGGTCTTTCCTATGACCTTGACGGAAGGGATATGTTTGGCAACGGCCCACTGGGAAGTTTCTGAATCCAATTGATCCGCTGGGACAAGATAGCCGAGCTAGGTGTTATCATCTAGTGGGATATTGGCTAGATCGCGAAGGTTTGATGCAAGGATTTTATTCTTCTTGAATTTGGGCGGAAGGGTTATTGCCGCCCCTTGCCTATCGTTCATGTATGTGTTCTCCCTACTATTCGATCGTGGTAGGACATGTACTTATCCTTCTCCAGATACAGTTACGCTACTTGCTAGAGGCTTCGCCTCCAAGAAGCTTGGAGCGGCCTGAGCCAACGAATAATAAAGGGTCCAAAAGTCGTGTAGATCTATCCAGAAACAGGTGGCTTAGCCTAAGATTTCACAAGGCAGCATCTAGACCGGGTTTTCCCAACCAGCTGATAGGCAAACCCAACCACATTGGGAATAAGCAGCCTAGCACCACTCCAGCCATCACCAAAATCCGGACCTACTCCAGTCACTGTATTATAATCACGTAAAGGTGATAAATCTACATTCTGTAGACTCGCCCTGCCCCGTGAACGACCAATCATGAATAAATACTAATGAAATATAGCCTAGGTATGTATCTTTTCGGAACTTGGGCAAGAATGTATGTAACAGATTTCTTGGCCAACTTCATCTAGTATGGATAAGCCCCCTCGTTATTAGTGTCGATTATGTAGTCTAGTCAACTGTACTGGGATGCTGAGGTTTGCTGTTGAATCATAGTCACCATCAACAAGAAGTTACTGAAAATGGGCCATCTCATAGAAGAAATTGTTCCGGCCGTGGCAGAAGAGCCTCTCGCTATAATTGGCCAAACAGTATCTGCAACTGCTGTTGGTACTACCACAACCCATCCAGATCTCCTGGCCCCAACAACAGCAAACGATGCCGCTCCTCCTCTGAAAAAGGCACGACAGCGGGCAATCATCGGCTTGATTGTTCTCGCCAATTTCTTCCAGGTATGTTTACCACACACTTTGGATTAATGCTTACGCTGACCTCTGATGCACAGTTCACATGCATGTTCACTACTGTGGCAGGAGGCTATGAATTTAGCAAACGCCTCGGTGTCGAACCCGGACCAGGAAAGGCCAACTGGATAGCCGCTGCATACGGGTCTGTTTAATCTTGTTCTCAATGATTCTGTTGAGTGACTGACTGTTTCTTCATTGGAGACTCACACAAAGCGCTATGGTCTTGATCAGCGGCCGACTAGGAGCCGTGTATGGCCACAACAACTCCATGTTCGTCGGAGCCACCAGCATTGCCCTCTTCTCGCTCACGACAGCGTTCTGCCGAACATATGATTCATTTGTAGCGATGAGAGCAATGTCTGGTATTGGAGGAGGGCTCCTCATGCCTAACGCTGTCGCAACCCTGATGATCATGATCCCACCAGGCTTAACGCGCAATGCGACGCTTGCGGTATTTGCTGCCTCCCCGCCAGTGGGTGCTTTGATCGGGGCCCTCCTCGCTGGCGTATTCTTGGGTCAGGGCGATTGGAAATGGCTTTTTATCGTGATGTGAGTGCCAAAGGCTGTTAGTGAGAGCATGGGAGACTGATAAGAAGTTCCCGCCAGTTCGCTACTTATGGTTGCCACAGTAGTACCCCTGTTCTGCCTCCTACCTAAGGAGGAACCGGTCGATAAACATGGGAAAATTGATCTCATGGGAATCTTCCTTGGTCTGAGTGGCTTAATTCTGTTCAGCTTTGCTTGGAAGTATGGCATTCTTCGTCCCTATTCCCCCAAGACCTTTCGCGACCGCTGATTGCAGTATTGTCTAGCCAAGCACCTGCTTCGGGTTGGGATACTCCGTACATAATTGCGATCACAGTACTATCTCTGGTACTCCTCGGTGCATTCTTCGTTTGGGAGAGCAGGTTCGCCACAGAACCCATCATGCCCCTCAAAGTCTTTGCCGCACCAACCTTCACGGCCCTTATCATCGTCGTGCTAGTGACTTATATGTCAGTTGGGATTTTCCTCTGGTACATGGTCGCGTGGCAGCAGCTCATCCGAGGCTGGACTGTCCTTGAGACAGCAGTGGGATGGGTCCCTTTTGCCGTCGGTGCATCCTGTGCTGTGGCTCTCGCAGCCGTGTTGATTCCCCGGCTAGAAGCACAGTGGATCCTGTGTATCGGTGTCCTTACTTCTCTTGCATCTTTGATACTTCTGGCGACTATGCCTGCACAGCAGCTGTACTGGAAACAGACGTTCCCGGCAATTTTTCTCGCAAGCATGTGCCCTGATCTTGTCTACGTTGCTGCTCAGATCATTGCCAGCAACAGTGTTGGCAAGAGAGAGCAAGGTGTCGCTGGTAGTCTCATTGGGACCCTCAACCTTTATGGAAACAGTCTAGGTTTAGGTATAGCAGGTACTGTGGAAGTCGAGGTTGTCAGGAGAGGCGCAAGCGAGCTCTGGGGTTTCCGTTCGGCTCTTTATTTCGGAGTTGCACTGACTGTCATCGCATTGGTACTCAATCTTTTGTTCGTCCGCGTGCCCAAGGACGAGCATAGCGAGTGGAAAGCTGAAGCAGACAATTCTGCTTGAGATATAGAGGAGGAGATTAAAGGCGATACGATGAATACTAGCGAAAGGCAAATGTACAACTACTCTCTGGTTTTTGACTTTGGATGGGCGATAGAAAGATTTGATTTACTGTTTCACCCAAGGTTTATGATGGTGTATCAGTGGTATCTAGTTAAACCCCTGGAAATATAAACCAGCTAGATAGGCAGATTGCATAAGCGAAATAAAGCCAACCTCTTTTCAAAAAGATTAAGCCCCTATGCTAAGAGTAATGCTGGGTGTATGAAAATCAAGATACATAGAATGCCTCGTCTCTCGCCTGAAGCAAATGGCGTGTTGGCTCCCCTACACCGTTCAACAATCGCCAACTCATATTACGATATGATAATATCTAGCTCTATTAGGAAGAAGTTCACTTAAGACATGATGAGGTTTCGTTCGAACACATACATTAATGAATTGATTTAGAAATATCGTCTTCGATTCGCATTAACAAGTTGGCTGTCACCCTTTCTTCACAACCTGACTTGCTGACTTCCTTGGAAATGGTCGGCTATCAGATGTCGTTAAATATGATGTCTGTTCCTTAGATTTAATGACTGGATCTCTGTGTATGGCTGAGATGTTGATGCGGTGGGCTGCGTCAAAGAGTGTGAAATCTCCCTGCACAGGTGCATGGCATGATATATGAGTTAGTCATGATGATTAGTGTAAATAATTTCGAGGAAGATGGATTGATTGATCACATTATTATGCTACTAACACATTCTGGGTATTTAAATCCAGAGCTTGATATTCAGGTGGCGTGATCCGGGCATCTTTCCCAGAAACATACAATCGGATGGCGCCAGAGAATTGAATCGCTAAATTAGGTTATCTTAATTGGAAAGGGTATAATTAGGGTGGGAGGCTAAAGCCCAAAGCTGCCAACAATCTTTCATCAGCTTATCTTGCAGGGTTGTCCAGCGTATCGCGGGCCACTTTGAAGACCAAGTGGTTTTTGCAAGAGGGAGCCATGTGAGTACATCGTCACTTTGGAAAGTTCAGCTGGAGTCTGTATTCTTCAGATAATGGCCCTCTTTAGGTAAAATTTTGGTCTGACCACCTAGAGAAATAATATTCTCTCGTTGTAACTGGCAGGACTGACAATGAAGACTTGATTCTTCAGTCAAGGTTTTTCACACTCAAATATAGTTGGATGGATGAAAATGTATGATCAATGAGCAAATTTAGGTTTACTGCGACTTTCAACATTATCCTATACAGCTTGATCTCGATAACTCAGCACAAATCCACAACTCGTTGTCCCCATCAGCCATAGCTTCGCACTATGTCCACAAACTATTGGTCACTATATCCTCTCTAAATCACAGCTCAGACTACAACAGGGTCAACACTTGAAGCAGCTGTCTTTTTCAAGGAACCCTCCTTTGACGCCACGTCATCAACTACGCCCTGAATCACATCGCTTTCTCCAAACGTCTCTGTAAGGACCGGAGGCGAGAATCTGTGACGGCCCACAACGTACCAAGTACCAACCATCGCCACAGCAAAGATTCCCATAATCAAAATTGCGTAGTTCATATTCGAAGCAGTGACGGGAGATGATTGGGGAATCTAATTCAAAGGTCAGCAAAGTTCCGCATCTGATGTTCTCTTGCCTTATACTGACAAAAGCGACAATCGTGACCAACACAACATAGACGCAGACAATTGCGTAAATAGGAGTCGACCAGATGCCGTAATTCCATGACTTGGCTCTGGGCAACTTGGATGATTTGGTGGCCAGCAAGAGAAAAGCAGGGAAGCCTATCAAGAACACATTAGATATCGCTCCTCAAACTCATTCATTGAGCAGATGAGTGTGTATTCACCGAAGCTGATGATTTGGCAGATCGCCTGGGCGCCAATAATTGCATTGAATGCTTGGTTCGAAAATAAGAACACTAAACCAATAAGAAGAGTAACAATCGAAGGAAACGTAATCGACCAAACAGGCAAGCCAGTTTTGGGGGAAATCGCCGTTAGTCTATTCAAGAGCGTTAGCCATTATCACAAATTTGGGTTTTTTTACTATCTTGACATACTTGTCATTCCAAAATAATCCCTCATCTCGGGCAAATGCAAAGCCCTGTCGGCTCATGGTGATGGCGCTGCCAAGAGCAGAAGTACCGTTGTTAATCATTAAGATCAGGGTGAATATAATGGCTGCCGCCTGGCTATTAGTACCAAGTCTGATAAGTTCAATGATCGGAACCCTATATAATTGTTAGAATGAAGCTGCCGGCATAACGAACGCAGACTACATACCCAGTTGAGGTGGCGAGGATAGCATCCAAGTCTGTTATGGAAAACCCTAGGACAAGAATCCAGACAACTCCAACGACAAATTGGCTCAGAATAACCACGATAAGGATTTGAGGGAGCGTTCTCTTAGGCTGAGGGAGCTCTTCTGCCAAATGTGTTGGGCTATCAAGTCCCATGAGGGTTGCGAACGAATTCATCAAGCCCAAAACCACGGCGAACGCAGTGGATGAATATCTAATCGGATTAGTTCATAAAACCATCACTATGTAGACTATAATCATGGATCATACCCTGTTTGGTTATTCACTTCCACAAACACAAACTCTGCAGATGCCTTCGGGGCCTTTACAAGTAATGCGACACTGAACCCAACGAAGCCGAGGGCGGTAACCCAGCCTAGTCACAGGTTAGTCTTTGGTATATTGGAAATCTCGATATTGGAGACTTACAGCCTAGTATCTCCAAGGTGGGAATACCCTTGAGCCCGAATAGATTCACCAACCAACAGATACAGGCAACTGCAACATATGCCAGAAAAAGCTGCCATCGGGTATCGACTGCAAAACTCGGGTTACATAGATTAACCAAAGCTAGAAGAGCAGTGGCTACAATGGAGCAACAGGCCGCATGGGTCAAAATCCATCCAAAGTAGTTGAGCCAGCCGAGAGGATATGAGACTGAGCGTTTGTATTGATCGGGGAGCAGGAATGCGGCATAATGGTAGGCGCCACCTACAATAATCGTGAGCTTTTGAAATGGTTTGAGACACAATAACAGGGGAACCAAGACTTACCTGCCGTAGAAAATCTAGCTGCGCATTGCGAGAAGACAAGCATGATGCACAACACACATGCTGATGAAGCGATACTGCCCTTGGGTGTTAGTTTTCATCATCTGAGGGCGATAGTAAGAGGTACTTGCTATCCATATAAAAGGGCCGGGAGCCCGCCAGCTGAAAGACTGACGAACAGGATGAAAGACAGTCCTCCAAAAGCGTTGACAGTGAGCCAGCCGACGCTGATGCCACTCCATAACCCAAATGTACTTGGGAGATGTTGGTTGGTCGTTAGAACCTCTGTTTCTGACATTTTGTTTTCTTGATTCGGGTTTCAATTGAAAGCAATTGTTCTCGAGGGGACGGCAAATTTGCTGTTGATGAATAGGTATGGAGGGTTCGTGTAGGTCCTTATACTTGCTCACTGATTCTATCACACCCGACAAGCGAATCTCGCAGTTCTAGGCTGTTCCCCATACAAACCTAATGCAAAATAATTTGTCCTGAACGTAGTCATACGTATCAGCTGGGAAACTGTGAGGTGTGAGCAACTCGGATAGTGATAGTCTCGTTATCGCGATAATCGTTCGACGTAGAGGCACTTTTTCTCACACGCAAGGCTCTATACCCCCGGCCAATCCGATGCTCGGAAAGCCATGTTTGATAGTGTAGACCATCTCCATTAGGTATAAGCTGAGCAGCTCTTCTGCTGCTATCCGGTGGCTCTCGATTATCTAGTGTGACAGCCGGCCATTCCACTTCGTAGATACGGAGATATGAGCTAATCCCGATTTGGTGCTGTTAAGGCTATCTTTCAAGTCGTAGGAAAGTCTAGCCAATGAACAGACGAGACATTTAAAGAACCATGATAAGGAATATTGCCAGTCAACAACAGTGGGGAAAGAAGAGACACTAGCAGCCCAAACTGGCTCTCATGCTTGGTTTACTGATTAGCAAAGCGGGTTACCGAGCTCAGATAACACTGACAGGGCGTTACGACGTCGCGTAACGGCAGACTCAAGCCAATCATGTCCAACATGATTATTTTCTGCTCTATTCTCCACTGTGTCCGATGTAGGCACACGCGGGGAAGACTTGCAGCCAGTAGTTTCTTGCAATCATTGCGGGGTGAGTTCTAGCTAAGAGCCCCTCTGGTGTCCCCTGACGATAAAGCCTGTCCTCGACATCCTTCATTCTCTTACCATCAGGAAATCACGCCAGAACGATTGAGATCCAGCTATCCTTGCACTTTCCAATTTCGGGTTCAGGTTCGCTAGTTTATGCGTATTGGACAATCATGAGCAGTATCAGATCCAGACATGGTAGCTTCCCCCGATAATCCCTCCCCACTCCCTTCTAGATGACTGACACGTTCAAGGTTGTTGGACATGCCGAAAAAGACACCAGAAATGCGACGAGGAAAAGCCGGGTTGTCGCAACTGCCGGTCGAGAGGAGTCCAATGCGGCGGTTATGCCATCCAGCTGGGCGAGTTTTCCATCTCCAATAGCGCTGATGGGCATATGGTCTCCAAACTGACCCGAATCGGCCGTGCTGATGGCAAGGCCAGAAGGGGCCGCCCACCTCGTTCGAGCCAAAGGAGTGCCAGATGGCCAAACAGTGCGAAGAACTCATCTCCAGCAAGGAATATATCTTCTCTTCCGTCAATGGAGTCTCAGGATCCACAGGAGGTGCCCCAAGTTGAGACTTCGAGCCCACCCCCAACCCTTCCTTTGAGCAACTCTCCACTACCTGATATATCTGACAAGGAAGAGAACATGCACCACGACCAACCATTTGTCAACATCTTCGAGGGATCTCTCGGTTACGATTACAACAGCCCCGAAGCAACGCTGGGCTTATCTTTTACCGGCGATCCTCAAACATCAGAGTCTGTTTCTATGTTCACATTAAATGACTGTGAAGAAGCCGAGAAGATCATTATCTCTGCCGGTACGGGCACCATTTCAAGCCCCTACCAGCCTCTCAGAATCACGACTCCTAGCGCACTGCTAACCGATCGCTTATTCCATCATTGTAAGAATCCCACAGATTTGTATAACGGTCATCGAAAGCTTACTTTCAAAGTCATAAATACCCTCTCCCTCAGTTTATACCCTGTGGAACCGGTCCGAAACCCGTATCGAAAAGTGTATGGCTCGCTCGCAATCGAATCTAAACCATTGCTGGACACCATCTTGTTCGCGTCCGGTTTGCATCTCTCCAAACTGGGACATCTGGAAAAAGATACGCTGAAATCATTTCGAATGGAAATCAAGAGTTCGTTCCGGGAAGCTTTGAAGAAGGGACGAGGGTTTTGGGCCCTCGGGCTAACCGTGATGCTCTCCGTTATATTTGATGTAAGTGTTTTTTTTTACATCTTTGAAGAATCAAGGACTAATTTGAGTAGGTGATCGGAACAGGACTCGATTCGTGGAGCTTGAAACTGGTCGGTTGCAGACGGCTGCTGAAACTCGGGCTGGCCGAGGCAAAGGGCGATGTCGAAACAGACAAAAAGTGTGTACTGATGCAGTTCAATTGGATGGCAACAATGGGCCGGACGCTACTTGTTGGCATTGAGCCTCTGGAGTCAATCGAGGAAATCAAGTGCATCGATGGAGGTGAGTCATGATAATATTGCCGTATTGAACCTAGGTAGTCATTGACGGAGTCCAGATGAGGTTTGCGAAACATCGCCAAGGACGATTGACATGTCTTTTCATCAATCCTACTGGTGGGCGAATATGCCTGACTGGAAGATGCACATGTTGCTACGTGAATCTGCTGATCTTGCTGTGAAAATTCACAAACTCAAGACGGCTGGCGGGAGCACTGATCAGCTTCTGTCTGTCACCTTGAATGTAGCTGAGCTTTTGGATAAAATCAAGTATTGGCACCCTGATATGTCTTCCGTCTCCCCTGAGTACATGCACTCGGTTCACCACTTCAACGAGATATGGAGACTCGGCCTGCTGTGCTACATATATCACGACATCTATGCCCTCAGTTCAGATGACTGCCGTATACAGGAGGCGTTAAGGAAGTCGTTGAATAGTTTGCAGAAGTTATCTTGGCTTCAAGCATGCATGTGGCCTGTTTTTATGCTCGCAGTACACGCGAAGACTGTAGAGAGCAGAGATATATATCGGGACGGGCTGATGAGAATGCACACCTCTTTAGGGTTTCAAGCACCTCTGTCTTTGGTTCTTGTTCTGAACAAGATCTGGGACTGTATTGATGAAAGAGGCTGGAGACCATGGAAAGATGTGGTGAAAGAGTTAGGTTTGGAGTTGAATATCTTGCTATAGACAATCCAATGATGGATACTCCCTTGTTATCTGCTCACAGTATCTCCGCCATCCAACAAGATGTCAATTTTTCCTGGGATTTTGTTGCTATCAAATGCGTGGGTAGGTTAATCAGGCTAGTGTGGCAGAAACAAGCTCCCCCAACATACTACCATATCCAAACGGATCTTCCTTGCTCCCAAGAGTGAGAATAGGATCCTTGTTCTCAACATGGCCGAGGTGCGGTTGACTGACAGACCAACCAATCAAAGCCTGAACCTCTGGGCTATACGTCTCAATGGTTCCACGAGGAATGGCAAGAAATTGGTTCTCGTCAGGGCGGTAGGTGCCGCGGACCATGTGGCACGAAAAAATGTTGCGGCGCTCATCAGTGATGTTTGCGCCTGCGCCATGCCAAATGCTTCCAATAATGAAGACTGCGTCACCCTTCTCCATCTCACATGTAGAGCAGAGAGAACGGTCGGCGGGGCCAGTGAGGGCACCCTCAGCCCATTTGTGAGATCCGACGATGACCTGAGTGGCCCCATTCTCAAAGGTGCATTTCTATACAAGAATGTTATTCACAGAGACTCTCTTGTTGGTGGGCAAGAGCTTGTTTGGTGACATACGGTGCCGGCTACAAGCAATCCGAGAAGAGAACTTTCGCCACTTCCCTCGATATGGTCAAAATGTTGCGCCATATCATCGCGATGAAGGGGCTGGGCATCCGATCTCCCACGAGAAAAGGCCTCTGATACAGCCAGAACGGGGTTCGAGACACACTTGTAGCGCTTGCCATCTCGATAGGGATATCTAGGAAGCAATCAGCGGCACGTCGAGTGAATGGAATTATATCGGGCGCTTACGATTCCTCCCTGAGGAGAGCCTTAGCCGCCTCACGGTATGTTGGATGATTGAGACATTTATGGGCGAAGGTAGGCGATTTGCCCGCAAATCCACTGGCCCTGGTTAGTGAACAAGTCCCAGTTCTGATGTGTTCAGCCTCGTTTAGTCATACCTAAGAGGAGGATCTGATGCGGGGAACAGAGTGCCTTCGTATTTGCCCACACGCTTGTAGTAGGGGTCGCCCTCTGCCTGGATCTTATCGGCGTCTTCAGGGGAGATGAAGTTCTTGATGATGATTCCTCCATCTCGGCGAATCACTTTGACGATTTCATCGATTGGGGAGGAAGCATCGAGAACAGTTACCTCCGGGTTGTTCTTTTGGTGGACTGGGTTAGGCATTCTGAAGGATTTATAGTCGATTGAGACGAAAATATCGAAACAAGTTACGCCGATTCAATTGGAGAAGGTTAGCTGTTTGCTTCCTCATCGATCGGTCATAGCAATAAGTCAAAGCACTTATATAGCCTCAAGCCGATTTGCATCCAACAAAAGAAGACAATGACTCAATCCGGTATGCCCAAAATTCTCAGCAAGAATTCGAAAGTGATTTGGCCGGTCGTGTCGACAGGCCAAGCAAAGAGGCGATAGGAGAAGTAAACCCAAAACGGTAAACATAGGCTATCTCCACACAGGAAGTACAACCAGGCTTATCAAACACGAGATCTTCATCGGATCGGCTCTATCGTGAGTAATTGAACTGAAGTTTGAGGTTCAAGATAAAATGAAGGATTTATTTGAATTAAAAGCACATTGTCGTGGCCTTCATTACACCAACAGATTCACAGCACACAAAACTCTATCCACCCAATAAGAATCGACCTTCTGGATATTTCTCAATTTTATTCCTTGGCCTAAGCTACAATGCCTGCTACGGTCAAGACCTTTCTCGCATCTGCCGAGGCCCACGATGTTCTGCAGACCCTCAAAGCTGACGGGGTGGCCATCATCAAATCCGCTGCCCAGCCAGAGACCATCGATGCAGTGCTCAAGGAAACCGGCAGCCTGCCCGAAGGACAGTCCTTCGGCCTTGCAGCGAAGAGTCCAACCTTTGTAAAGGAGCTCATGATGAACAAACTCTACCATGACCTTGTCAAGCGGATCCTCACAGATACTTGCATCATCTTCTACGAGACAGAACGAACAGTCTCGACCGCCGAACCTCAGCTTTCCTTGACGGCCACCCTGACGTCAACACCTGGTTCCGCTGGATGGGGTCTGCGAAGGCAAGACGACTGCCATCATACCGTTCATCCTGCCAAAAGAGAGACAGACTTTGGGATCACCTTTGCCGCCACGCCCATCACTCGCTCGAACGGCGCATTGAGGGTCGTTGTTGGATCGAACCAGTGGAAGGACAGCAGAGACCCAAAGGAAAAGGAGGAATTCATTGTCGAGCTTGCCAAGGGCGACGCGATCCTCCAGTGAGTCGAACCCCTTCATTGCATTAATCTCGTTGTCCAATTGTACTAACACATGAACAGCTTAGGATCAGTCTTTCTTGGCCAGCTGCCCAATACGGGCACCGAAACCAGCACTCTTCTCACTACTTTTGCCACCCCGGGATGGTGCCGCCAACAAGAGAACCAGTACGTTGCGATCCCGGTCGATGTGGTGCAGACTTTCTCGCCCGAAATCCAGCGCTTCATCGGATATTATGTCAGTCGTCCATACGGCGGGGCCGTCGAGCATATGGAGCCACTGGACTGGTTGGCTGCGAAGGGAGACTGGACAAAATATATCCCTGTTGATCTTGTCTAACAGGAGGCTCCGGCCGAAGCCTTTAACTCCGGGATCACTAGACTTAAGGTAGACTAGCCTACAACTTCCCAATAGAAGACGCTTTTACCGGAAGTACATGAAGAGGGCTTACTCGTATGAAGAAATCATGCTTTGTTGTAATTAGGTAGGCAGACAGCCATTACCGTTGAAGCAACTACTAATCCGGCTTTATGAGACATAGAATTAGAGTATGCAAGCCAAGAAACATGGGGCCAGCTGCTCCCATGAGTATCAACCCATGATGCAAGCACTCCTCTTCGTAGAAGTACCTGAGATGTAGAAGAACAAGCCTGATTGTCAGCTGAGAAATCACGAGTATGAAACTATGCTGACTTCTCGGATGCACCCCGACATTTCCAACCAAAAAGAATGCCGGTTAGGTAGGAATGTGGTAGAATCAGCTGAGCGTGTGCTCCCTGACCAGCAATTCAAACTTATTGACTCGACGCCAAGGCTGTTCCCCATGACAAAAAGACGCTGAGACTTAAGCAATCTGAGAACGGCGACCTCTCGACAAACATGTACTGCCTATACGCTGCGCTTAGAAGTCGCATGCCCGCTGGCCTGTCTTTCATTGTGCTCTAATTGACTACATAAGTTCTGTACCCCGTTCTATTGATCTGGGCCCAAGGCGGGCCAGTCGTGATGCCAGTTATTGGCCCACGCGTAAAGTACAGCCTCCATTGATCAGCCGCGACCCTAGGATTAATGGCGAGCATTATTGGAACAATTAGGTGGGGAGATAGGGTTGTGTGTTTTGACAGGCCTTGTAATGAACTTTATGCGCGTTTGGACTGGTAAAAGCGTGTTTTACCTGCGTAACTTAGGCTGCCCGCGTCTTATTTGGTTCCTGGTAGTTCTCTGAGCCTGGTTTACAACGTCATGCGACGGTTTCGTGTTTCTTGCGTTGTCCTAAACCCGGGTTCTAGCCGGCCGGCTTCACGAAACTGGGCCTGCTTATTTAGGAAAGATTGACATTTTATGGACAAAGACCAAGCGTCATTGGCCAAGTTGCGCACATCAGCAGAAGCAATGCTTGGCGTCAATATTAGGTCTAGTTCAGGGGAGGGGGGAGCAATATTCCCTCCACCAGAATTTAACCATAACTTAGCCCAAGACTGGCTACGTTCACTTCCCTTTTGCTCGATTTCTCCGTGACTATTTGACTGTTGACGGCTGGCTTTCCATGGCCGGGACTAAGCCGCCGATCAACGCTCATTTCACCCGAAGACAACCATGAAGGAATAGGCAGTCAGTGCGGACTGTCTTTCCTAGTCTCTGTCTTTCTGGCGGGCCATTGCCGGCCAAAATGAATGGAGTGACTGGGCGGCCGCTCCCACGGTGGCTCGCCAAGGCCTCCCTCCCATCCTTCCTCAACACCAAGACGGCATTTACCATCACCACTCTGGCGGTACTGAGCACTAAAGTTGCCTATATTCACGGCCATTTGTCGTCTATCTCCACAAGGCACTTGGTAGTATGGGGCTCGTCCTTCTTCGCCCAAGATCTCTTCCTTCTCATTATCCTACGCCTGCAGATTGAACACTGGCGCTCCCGCACACCCGTCCGCGCTCAGCCATTCCTTATTTGGTTGAACAAAATCATCATAATCTACAGCATATCCCTCAGTGTTGTGGCTTTAACCTTCCACATAACTACAGGGTCCGAAATCCGCTGGAGGGATGTCGGCCTGGCCACAGGTGGCTCGTCACTTGGGCTTGTTTTATCTGGCGCCTTCTCATGCGCTATCGTTGTTGCCTTTCTTATCTCTTTTGGCTGGATCCTACAGGATGTCGTCTACCACCTTTTTGGTTTCACTGCCAATATCGTGGACTGGCTCATCCTACTGATTTGGCGCACATCCTGCTCTCTGGTTACAGGGACGAAATCACCCCAACATCCCCAGCGAGAGGCTGAACAAGATACGAACAAACCATCAATTAGGGATCCAGGATTGGAACTGGATAGTTTGGGTCCCCAAACATACCCACTCCTTCCAAAGCGGCTGCAGAAGTTTCTGGATGAAATAGACCGGAGGACCTCGACGACAGCCCAAAGTCTATCATCCATCTTGCGTTTTGGAGCATACTGCTTCATTGTCACCGGTCTGATTGCCTTGGCTGTACTGGTATTGACCAGACCCAACGATAGCTCTCTAGCTTTCGTCTCATGGGCTACCGTACTATTACCGTTTGTTGATTTCTCATCTTCGTCGCCCCTCCTAGACCAACTGCAACCGTACTACTACACGGGAATCCAGCATAGCTGGGATAATCGATCTGCCCTCACGGATTCGGTTCCATTACCATGGCTTCCACACGGGGTCGTCCTTGAGGGTTTTGGGGATTGGTACACCAACAAATCGCATTACAATGGAACATCAGACCCGATGAAAATATCAAATCTTGACCAGCCATTACTCTCTCATTTGCAAGATAAACTAAAGGATGTCTCGATACGACATGTACTTGTTGTATTTCTCGAGAGTGCGAGAAACGATATGTTTCCGATAAAGAGAAATGGAATGGTATGGAACCGCCTAGCTCAGACATTCCCCAACCACGAAATGCCAAAGGAAGTGCAAGACAAACTGTCTACTCTGACGCCAACGGCCAACTATATCACCGGGGATTACGATGATGGCTTCAATCACACAGAGGAACGCCACCGCGGTGGTGTTCGATTTACGAAGGCCCAGACTGCGAGCACCTACACGCTCAAAAGCCAGATTGGCACACTTTGCGGTGTCGCGCCCCTGATCGCCGATTTCAACAAGGACTACCGGCACCACATCTACCAGCCCTGTCTACCTCATATCCTGAATGCTATGAATGCTCAGGACACTGAGCAGGATAGGAAAGAGCCCTACGCATCCTCTGCGTGGAAATCTTACTACTTCCTAACGTCCACAATCGGCTTTGATGGGAATGCGGAACTGATGAGAAAAATTGGGTTTCCCACAAAGAATACTATTGATCGAAACTACTTACGAAGCGACCATGCGAGACATGGACGCGTTGGTAATCCCGATGTGAATTACTTTGGATTTGAAGAAGAGCCTCTCACCGAATATATTCGAGATGCATTCATTTCCGCAAAAGAGAGAGATGAGAGGGTATTTCTTACCCACCTAACGAACACCGGCCATCACCCCTTTGGCATCCCACAACACAAAAAGTACATACCTGTCGCCAATGGTCTCAACGATCTCTCTCATTACATCAATGCTCAAGGCTACATCGATTCGTGGTTGCAAAAGTTACTTAATATCCTCGACGAGCAGGGTGTTGCGAACGAAACCCTGGTGGTGTTCCAAGGCGACCACGGGCTGTCTATGCCGGAGAATGACATCGTGGCGTCTTATTATAACCCCAACGTCGGAAACGACCATATTCCGCTCGTCTTGTCCCACCCCAAGCTACCGGCCTTTGATGTTACGGATCCCGTCTCGTCTTCACAGATTCTACCGACCATCCTCGACCTCCTCCTCGAGACAAACTCACTTCACACCACTACTCGTCAAGTGGCGACGGATTTGCTGAAAAACTACGAAGGCCAATCGCTCATTAGGCCACAAATGTCAGAAAGGCTAGGCCAGGTCCAATGGCAATTTAACGTTGCCAACCCAGGCCGCTCCATGCTCACCGCACGCGACCCAAGCCACCCAGACTGGCACCTCGTCGTCCCCGTCGTTGGGAACGTAGAGTGGAGATTCACCAACCTTACTGCTGACCCCCGAGAGCAGAACTCGGTCCAAAGCATCGACTTCTTGTCTTTTCTTGGTAGAGTGGAGGAGAAGCACGGTGAGGAGGTTGCCAAGTGGGTGGAGGAAGGCGCATATATGACACGATGGTGGGTGGAGGAAAATCACAAGCGGTGGCGATACGGGCCCTATAAAATGTAAATCTGATATTTTTAGCAAAGCAATACAACTACAACACATGATCAATGCCTTTTCAAGTCCTCTCTTGTTTCTCTAGGTGCCCCCCTGGCGGGTCACGAAACCATTTGAGCAGGATGGGTAGGCTGCCATATACTTCAGATTTGACAGGCTGACCTCATTCACGCTAGACAAGCTTCTTGATGCTCGGTTACAGCCCTAAATGACATCCTTGTCAATAGCATGATTTAAGCGAGGTGCCATGTGGTGGGTGACAGGGAGAATACTTGGAAAAACCTGTCCAATCTCGGCTTATTGCCTCTACGTGGCGGCAAGTGGTGTGTAAGAAATACAGCGCGGCTAATTCGCCTGTCCTGAAGCCAATCCAAAACGTGGTTTTCCAAACTCCTTTACTCTCACTATGCCTGATACTGGCTATTCGTCAACAATTGTTTCCTTTGAACACCCTCAAGCCCACCATTCATTGCATCTTTGAGTAGCTGTTTGTAGAAATAAAGAAATAAGCCTTGGAGGCTAAGCTCTTAACAAGGGAGAGGCTTGTCGTAGTGACATTCTGACACGCACTTAGTGCCCAAACCCCCTGCTTCGCTCCACCTCCGTATTGCTCGCGATGAAGCTTGGCATGGGAAATCAGCCTAGAGACCAGCCCAAGTGTGGCGTTGCTCTTCGATTTTAAGCTGCATCAATGCATGGAGGATTTGGGCAAGTAAGATAAAAACTGCGTCTTTCCCACATTCCGGAACTGTTAGCACAAGGTCCCCCACACAAGCTACGTCTAAAACAACTTTTGCATCGAAGAATGGCCATCCGCATAGGCAGTCTTTCAACCCTCCTCTTCCTCTCTAATTCCTTCTCGACACTCGCCAGTGCCACTAGCACCAATGAGCACCCCCTATTCCCAAGAGCAAAGCCACTCAAGACCAAGCTAGACAAAATAGTCGTTGGATCTGCTGTGGGTGGCTTTTTCGGGCTCCTCTTTATTATCATGGTCATAGGGTTACTTTGGGGACGGCACATAAGTCGACGAAATGCGCGCAAAGATGCCCACATAGAGGAGGCAGGGCTCTCGGGCAATCATAAGTCCTCGGCAGAGGGCCGAATTCCACTCATGACACGTTCTCAATCCCCGGAACCAGAGGAGCCAAAGCCCACATACACGCCATTTACCATGCTCATGTCATCTACGGTTGGCGTTCTCGACAGGCTACATGGCGAACCTAAGAAAACCGGCGGTCGCTGAATCACTGAATCTGCTTGTACCACCCATCGAGAGCATGTATGACGGTGGCCGAATTCGTACGCCGGGATTGGCGCTGTGGTGCGATTGTTCCCTCAAGCCGGCTGGTTCAAACAAGAGATTTGACCAGTTCTGGACCACGAGCTTCTATTTTGAGGCAGTCTCTCTCAATGAGACTCAGTTGGCCGTCCCCAAACCTGACCTAACCTACCCGATCTTGGCAAGATGAGTTGGTGATTAATGGCATTGTTGGGTTTACCAACTCGCATGAAAGTAGGCGCCATAGAACGAGGTTTGGGCATTCAGTTATGGGTTCAAAATCATTCCTAGCAGGCCCGATCTTCAGCAAAATCTCTTTTTTTCAATCAACATGTTGAAGGAAAAAAAGTGGCAGAGAGGGAATGCCTTGTCAGGAGCCCCCTTAAAGAGTGACGAACTCGCGCTGCCACTTGCGTCGGCAAATCGCTCGAAGCCTTTCACAATACGCACCACCTTGGTCAAGTCTTTACCATTGGCAAGTTCGTATTACATGCTCGGTTTGTCGTCCAGAAGAGCAAAAGATTCACTGGTATAGCGAGTCATCTGTCCCTCAATCTCGGTACCTAAATATAAAGCTGAAAGTTATCATAAAGTAACTGGGATTGGTGTGAGAATACAAGCGTAATTACTGGTCTCTGCATAATCCCTTCTCTCGTTGTGATATATACTTGAGCAGACTACCTGCGTGTCGAGGCACCGCTGGTCTGCATACTTGGGTGATTCAAAATCACCCCCCTCCCACAATCCCCCAAACTACAAGGATTGACCACATATCATTCATTGGGGCTCATCATATTCCCATTACAGAATCAAGCCTGCTTCCCCGCGGCGGTGGTAAATTACGGGAGGCCACTTTGGGGAATTGGAACAAGGCAAGCAGCTTCTCTAGCTGCCATCCATCCACATCCAGCCTATCTCGTCGAGTGTTCTTTCTAGCGTCTCGGAATGGCTTCGGATTTCGGCTTCGTTCTACCGGAATTTGAATAAGAGATTATATTACAAGAAGCGTAGCAAGAGGAGATAACGCAAATTGTTGCGTGAAAAGCCCTGCGAGCAAATCCTTAGTGCGTAGCCAATCAATATTGCCGGGGTGATCGATCGCGATGATTCGATTGAGAGCATGACATGATGAGTCACACCTAGGTAGCATCGCCCCTACGTATGGTCAAGAACTAGGTAATATTGCCAGGGGTGGTATTTTTGTATATATATATTGAGAACCCAGGATTTCTTCTGACCTTCTCACCAAGCTCCCACCCATGGTCCTAATCATTTTCAATTCTCTACGATGCAAGTCCCGGAGGAAAATAATGGCCATGAGGCTATGGAGAAGGTCTTCTCCGCAGTCGAGTTATTGGAAGCAATCCTCCTCCATCTCGACCACAGAGACCTTCTCCTGTCCCAGCTCATCAGCGCCCACTTCAAAAATGTTGTCTCGCAGTCCCATGCGATACAGCAAAAACTATTCTTCACACCAAGCCCTGCTAGCGACATACCGCAACAGAATCCCCTTCTCAAAGCTCTGTTTCCGACATTCTTCTCGCTGAACCGGCCAGTAAGCCCAGACTACTTTTACAACATTGTGTGCGGCACTATGGATTGGTATATGAATGACCGCCACGAAAGCGTCTTGCGTCCTGATGCCTCATGGAGGCGCATGTTCCCAGTCCAGCCGCCGGCAAAACTGGAGCAGATCAGGATTTATACCCATGACTACTGCCTATACAAAACGGGCAGCCCTGTTCCCGCAAAATTTGGGGATGAAGTTGAGGTGCTTCAAGAGCATGGGCTAAGAATGGACTTACTATATGACTTGGTCGTCCATTTATGGGGCCTACATCCGTCGCCCCAAATGTACATTCATTGGGAGATGTTTCCGCTCCTTGGAGGTGAAGAAGAGTGGCAAGATAGGACCCGAAGCCCAGAGGCCTGGTCCAACATAGATCTCATTGACTATCCGTTACCTTTACAAGAAAACATGAGCGACGGAGACCAGCAAACAAACAACAGGATCACCTTGTATTATCAGCACGATTCAGCGTGTGGAGGTAAACCATGGAAGCCTGATTTGAAGATTGATTCACCATTTAACTCGATGATCGAGGCCGACCGCACCAAACTACTACGGTTTATAGGCAAAGCCCAGCTGGGTTGGAATCGTTGGGATGAGTATGTTGATGACGAGGATCCCGTTGACCGTGACGGCACCGATGACGAGGAATAGAACACGATGAAAAGAGGTGTGTTGAGGGAAGTCGATTAAAAGGAGGAGATGTTATCAATGAGGTCTGTTACATGAGCACTGTTTTAATAATGTCAATCCGGCTTTGCCAAGATGAGTTTCTCAAACACACTGGGATAATAAATACCTGTAACATCTCTAGTGTTCCTAACTGGGTAATCCGGCCTTTAAACCGAGATATTGCTATCAGCAAATTGAATTCTCGAGTTGCATTCAATGTGTTATTTGAACGATTTCATATGGCTATGTCGCCTTGCGTGCAAAAATAGCAGAGGGGCATTCGTGTATAAAACTCCAAGGTCAGACCGTGTCCCAGATCTCAAGCATCAAAAACGCAGCGTCCGGATGATCCCGATGTTTGAGCAACTATTCACCCACTCATCATCCTCCACCGACACCTCCGCCTCCTCCATCACCACCGTGGCCACCTCCTCCATCCCCGCCATGATGATGCCCGCCGCCGTTGTGCCCACCCTGATGCCCGCCGTGGTGCCCGCCATGATGGCCTCCTCCGTTGTCATAGGGATACGCACCGTACATCGGGTAGCCAGTGGTATTGCTATTGGCACTGTTGTTCTGTGGTTGGCTGGGTTTGTTCTTCGTCTTGAGCTTGTCCTTGAACCCAGCCAAGGCACTGTTGCCCAAGCCTACGATTCCACCTCCACCGCTGCTAGACGCAGGCAGGTTGACGCCGGCAGCAGATAACCGCCCTTTGGCTTTGTCGGTCAGCTTCCCCAGAAACCCTCCACTTTGGCCAGTTGTCGTATGCGGTTGCGGTTGCGGCTGTGCGTACTGCTGATTTGGATACGCTGCTTGCTGCTGGTTGGGATAGCCCGGATATTGCGGGTATCCTTGAGGACCAAATCCTTGTTGCTGCTGTGGGTATGGTTGCTGCTGGTAGGGCTGCTGCTGAATGGGTTGCTGTTGGTAGGACATATAGTCGCCGCCGTATGGTTGCTGCTGCTGTTGCTGAGGAGAAAATGCGGGATTCTGTTGGAAGTGGTTGGGCGAGTACGGGTGCTGTTGGGGTTGCGGTGATCTCTGCTGGGCGGCGAGGGCGTCCTCTTCTGCCTGTAGTCTCGCCGCGAGAGCAGCGTCGCTATCTTCCATGCCCCTGTTCCCCCTATAGGGGTGGGTGTCCATGTTCAACTGTGGTGTGGCCCGCGAATCCTCCTCGGCTTGAAGGCGGGCGGCCAATGCCTCATCGTCGGCCAACTGTGAATCGCTGGCCACCTTTGGTTCGCTGCTGGCCTGCTGGGCCGACCCCGGATGGTCCCATTGCGAAACATTTGTGTGAGAATTGAAGAAGTACCTGAGGACCCCGAATAGTTAGTGTGAAGCCCTCTCCCCTCGAATCTTGGGCATAAACACACCATGCTTTGTACTGCTCATTCCACTGAGCAGCCCATCCTGGTGGAAGAGAAGCGGGGTAAGATCCGGGCGGCGGCGAAGATGGCGAATCCATGATGAACGACACAAGGGCCTGGCTGGGATAGGGGGAAGGGCAATAGTGCCACTAGGAGAAACCCGACAAACAGACAGTACGGACTAAGAAATGACTTCGTGGCCTGATGGCTGAGCTGCCAGAGTTTTCTGCGCAATGTGGATGATTAATGATGAGAAACAGTGGAGATGGGTGGTCGCTGTTACATGGCCGGGCAGCCAATGATACTGACCAGTAGAGAACGGGAAGCCCGGAACAAAGGGCTCTGGTGATACATTCGGGCACAGTGATGGATAGGCGTCACAGCTGATCCAGAATGCTACGTCATTGAAGTGACTCGTTCTGAGGCTGTTTGAAGCAGGTTTCAAAGCTCCCTGTTAGCAAGTAGACGCTGAAGTAAGCAAGCGATGCGCGGCCTCACCATTTCAGCAAAATAAAGTAATCGAAATGTATTCCAGATCGTTGCACTATAAGCTTCTCTCTAGGTACGTTGACTCGGTTGGCTAACCAAGTTCCTCTCATTCTGAATGCGACCAACTGTACTCAACCATACTCAATATCCGCGATCAAGAACCGAATCCTACGCTACCGAGACATACAGGCACATTAGTTAGGGTACTAGTGAGTAGTGTTCCATTGATAAGTCGCCACACACTCGCAGCCAACGGGCATTGGGAGGCGATGATCGGCATCGAGTGTCAGGCAGCATTCATCAGTTAGTAGCAGCCAACGATTGACGTAGTAAAACCGCAGTATTCACATACCAGAGTCGATTTGAGCAAACTGGCTTTCCTTGAGCTTCCGATCATTGAACTTGACTTAGATGGGGTGTATTCGACAACGCGACGAATGATCCAGGTAGGCCGACACACTATCTAACCATCCAGCGAGACCACGAGACTTGGTATAATACGTCTTGCGTATTGGGAACAGAAATTACAAAGGAAGGGAAGCCATTACAAATGACGTTCATCGGCTGTCAGCATAGCTTGCTCGCAGTATGTGCTAAGTCTTGATGATGGGCCTTGAACACGGGATAAGGCAAATCAGGACAGGCAACGTAACTCCAGGGGAGCCTCCTGGGGTTCGATGCGACCTATTTGCTCATTGTATGTTTTTGGTGTATCCCGCCGATCTATTCTCCAACCCCATACTCCAGATTCTCTTGATTTGGGTGCAATGGCAGCCCCCAACACCCCCCAACAGGCGTCTCTGTATGTACAGGTCTTGATTCAACCACCCCCGGTGTATTTTACCTAATTCAGTTATCAGTTATCGTACGTTGTGAACATTTTATAAATATCTCACCACAGCCAACAGCATATGGATGCCTTGTTGCCTCGTCCACGCAGCCAACAGCCTGGATCGTCACTGGAGCTTACGCACTGTTGGTTGGTTCCTTTGGTATGTTGGAGGGTGACATGGATTCATTCCAAGCGTTTTATTCGTTCGCTGCCTAAAAGTCAGTCGCCTTGCAGTTATGCAACCATCCATCAATCAGTTGCCTCCAGCAGTAGAAGCTGAATTGGCATGGTCCGCCTCGTGTATTTAAGAGGACCATCTTTCCCGCCTCCAAGAAAATAAACCAAGCTTCTGCTTCTTCTCACATCTCCTGCGATTCATCACCTTGTCCACGCCAATCAAGCCTAGGTCTTATACAGTCGCATTGAAAACTTTCCACTCTCACATCACCTTTGCAAATAGCACTTGTTTACCTCCTTCTTGTATCTGTCCCGGACACTCGAGGCAAAATGACCGCAGACGCCATTGAAAAGAAGCCAACTGACGCTACCAACAGTGCGACAGATGTGGTAGAAGCGGCCGCCAGCGGCAACGAGAACGAAACCAACAAGAGCGACGACGCCCAGGGGTCCCCTGATACACCCGTTGGCTGTTCCACGGTGAGCACAGTGCTGTTCGCCACTTTTGACAAAGCTGGACGGCAATCATGGTCGTCGAAATCGCCAGACGTGGAGACTACCGAGAACAAGGAGACTCGGAAGTCGGCCATCATTGTGCGAAAGGGTGAGGCTCCTCTTGCGCAGCTGATGATGCGATATGGCTTGCTAACTTCGTATCAGTTGCACCCAAGCGGGCAGACTCGAGCAAGCCTCTGGTCATTGACAGTCTGGTTATCCAGTCGCCTTACCTGAAGAAGGTCCTCGCCAAGGTGCTAGAGGACTACCCGGGCATTGTCGTCAACGTCGTCCGCCTCGTCTTTGAGAACCCATTTGAGTGTTTCGTCCACCGCTGGGACCGCTTCATCCAGGCCCTCGAGGACCCTGAGCTTGATGACCTCACCAAGGACCATCTTAAGCTCTTGCACGAGATCCTGGAGGAAGAGCTGCGGGATGTTCTCCAAGCCCGTGAAGACTTCATCAAAACCAGGGCAGTCAACTGGGCCTATGTCTGGACAATCTTCACGCCCGGATGCATTGTTTGGGGGTCCAAGAATGGAAAGCCCATTGCAGTCAGGTTTGTCCGCGGCGAGTATGCAAAGGACAAGTGCGGTAAATTCTACGCCCTACATTGCCAGTGCATTGAGTGGGATGGCAAAATCCTGGGCTGGGCCAAAGCTACGCAAAAGATCCGCCAGTATCTCGGCACCATGAAAGTCCAAAGTCTATCATGCTTTCCTCTCGATATGCATTCCCAGAAGGAAAGTGTAACCCAGCTGCTTCGGGAACGTGGGCTGCGTTTCCATGAGTTCGCCGGGCATCGTTACAAGTTCTCCAATGGTCTCGCTCTCTGGTATGATAGAAAGTACAAAATCATCCGACAAGAGATGGTCGACTCGCGTATTGTAATTGACGCGAAGACTTGGGCGCAGGAGACCCCAGAGCTCTCATTCACCACAACAAAGAATCTCCGCTTGGGAGGATACGTGAAGGGCACTGTGGGTGGTCGCCGCCCAGATGGCAATGACGACGGTTCCGAATCCGAGAGCGACGAGAGTGGGGAGGAAGGTAGTGAGGATGAGAGCGATGATGGTATGGACGTGGACATGGGAACTGGCGTCGATGACGACTTTGATCCCAAAAACCGCGGCAAAGATGGCAGGGACCAGAATCTCCCAAAGCATCTGCTTATTCTCACCAGCCCCATGGTTAGAGGTTACTCGCTCAAGAACAGGCGCTGGATGGAATTCTTCATCGACGATGTGTCCGAGATTACATTCCGCGAGAACTCCTTCGATTCTCTCGTCCTGGAGCAGGAGAAGAAGGATCTGATCCTGGCATTTTCCCAAACCCAAATCAAACGCAAAGACCAATTCGACGACGTTATCTCCGGCAAGGGTCGAGGTATCATCATGCTCCTGTCTGGTAGCCCAGGCATTGGAAAGACGCTCACTGCCGAAACAGTCGCCGAGCATATGCGTGTGCCCTTGTACTCGATCCATGCAAGCGACCTAGGTTCCTACGCCTGGGAGATGCAGCACAACATGAGCAAGATTCTGACCATGGTGGCTTCCTGGAACGCTGTCCTGCTCCTTGACGAATGTGATGTGTACCTTGAAAAGCGGGAGACTGGTGATGTATCACGCAACTCGATTGTCTCTGTGTTTCTACGCATGCTCGAATATTACGAGGGGATCCTCTTTATGACCACTAATCGCGTCGACACCATCGATCCCGCATTCGAGAGCCGCATTCACCTCTCTCTAGAGTATCCAAACCTTACAGATGCTTCACGCGAGCAAGTTTGGCGTGCATTCTTCGAGCCAATCGATGGCCAGGGCGACAAGGCTCATGAACTCAGCGATGCTGACATCAAGGAGCTTAGCAAGTTGGACCTCAACGGCAGGCAGATCAAGAACACGATCAAGATGGCTAAGCTCCTGTCTTGGCAGAGAGAGGAGTCGCTCAAGATGTGGCATGTAAAGTATGTTTTGAAGGTCCAGAAGCTCAAGAACCTGTCAGATTAGGGGAATGGGCAGCACTGTGTCATTGACACGGCATTAGCCAGCGCTCGTTCATCAGTAGTAGTGAGAAATGATTAGCATTTATTGAATACGAAATTGCAGGGTATCCATGGCAAACTTGGCTTTCAATTCCATGATACAGTGAACGTCTCCTGAAAAAGAGCCAATGTGCAGGACTTAATCGTGACCAATATGGCAACCCAAAGACACCATATATTATCCAACAACCAGTCTTTCTTCTTTGTCTAGCAATATATCGATAATAGATGGCAGGAATTTATCTAGCAAATGGTATACATCGGCCTCTTATTTCCACATTCTCGTTGACGGAGAAGCAAATGAATCAGCTGCAGTAAGTGGATGTGCTTGGAGCAAGGTTTATATATTTAATTTGGAGCTGACCCACCACCAATCACTACAGCAACTGAACACAGTTGATCATCTTCCGTAGTATAGTGGTCAGTATGCAAGCTTGTCACGCTTGAGACCCGGGTTCAATTCCCGGCGGGAGAGTCCGCCAACCGGTTCAACCGGTTCATCTTTTTCTTTTTTTGTTCGATTCCAGTTTAGAATTTACATCGAAAACGACCTGAGGTTTTGTTTTTGTGTTCTGTTTTAATTGCAGGGGGGTTTTCTAAGACAATTGCTGATATCCTTGAGCCAGAAGTGAGCGGGAGCAATGATCTTACCTACCCTATAGCATCGCTAACTCTCTTTCGCAGACAGCATTTCACCAGCGGGATAAGCTATCATAGAGCCAGTGTTTGAGATATAAGAGAGAACATATTCTTTATCTCCTATCTTGGGGGTCATGGACCCCCTTCACTATCCTAGCGACTTAAGTTGGTCATGTTCGTGTGCACTCCAGTTACATCTCCCTCGGACCCTTAGGCCTGTAATTTGTTGGGCAGGGCTATTTATGGTCTTTACGCCTGAGACATGACATGAAGATTATTTTACCAGAAACCTTAGACAGTCTGGAGATAAATTTGTTTTTTTTTAAGTCAACAGGTAGAAAGAAATATCCAGGCACGTGTACCATCATTTGATTGTTGGGAAAAGAATTCGCGTGCCGGCTATTTACATCATACATGTATAGGTACTGTCACAGATCCAGAAAGCAGCGATGAATTCACTTTGGATTGTTTCACTTTATTCATTGTAATAATATCGGTGACTCAACTACTATACAAAACCAGACGGTCCCGTTGAGATATTGGACTGGGCAAGCTAACCCGAAGTCCTAAATTTTAATACTCGAAGATAGGACGAGTCGACGCGAATTGGACTTATAAGTCCATAGGTAGTGACAGGTATGAAGCGCTGTTCTTACTCAATACACATAAGATCTGATCGCGTCTCTTTCCCTTCTCATCGTTTCATCATACTACACCGCAATGACTGTTCCTAGAGACATTATAGGCACAGCCTTTTCGCTTGCAATGAAGATTTCCTGGATGAGTATGAACCAGAAGTTCTGGCTCGTGTTACTTGTAATATGTTCATAAACCTGGGCGCCAGAAACCCGACGCCATTATATAGCCCAGCTGGGATAGTTTTCTTCGAAGCGGGCAATCCGCGCATTGGGAGCCTTGGAGCTCTTGCGGGTTTTCGATGATGCTGGGGTATCAGGCCGAGGCGACTCTTTAAGCTTAACTGGCTTCGCAGCAGAAGTTGGCACCTCCCACTGCGAATTGTTTGTGAATCGATTGACGAAGTACCTATTACACATGTATTGGTCAGCGTCCATGCTTGATCATCTAGAAATTACTCGATCGCGCAATCTTACCACTGCTGAGTTGGCTCGTCCAAGTGGGTGACCCAGCCTGAAGGGACCCGCGGAGGGGACTTTAGTGAGGGTGAGTTGGGCAGGCTCCCCCCTTTCCTCGATGACTGGTTTGTGTGCGGTTGCTCTTCGCTGCCTGACGTTGAAGAGGTGGTGCTCTGCGTTAGGCCATTGGCGATCTTGGCAAAGTACTTCCAGTTGCGTTTACCCGTCTTATTCGTTTCATCTTCGTGCTCCTCCTCGTGATTTTTGGGGCTCTTTGGGCTCTTCTGAAAAGAGGCTGGAGATTTTGGAGATCTCGACTGATCGTAATGGGGAAGTAGAAGATCCGACGGACTCGTAATTATCGGTTTCATCGGCAAGGGCTTGTCGACTGCGTCGCCGCGACTGCTGATGGAGGCGTTGTTGTCCTCGACTGAGCTGGCATATGGTATTTCAACGTTTTCAAAGTGGTTAATAGCAACAGCAGGAGAGGGTAGTGCGCTCCTCGGCGTGTTTAGTTGTGATACGACCGGCTGGACCTGGGACACGACCGGTTGAAGCTGAGGTACGGTCGGCCTTGATGCAACTGGCGGAGTCTTGGTTACGACTGGTTGAAGCTGAGGTACTACCGGCTTCGATACGACTGGCGGGGTGTTTGTTACGACCTGTTGAGCTGTGGGTGTGATCGGCTGAGGTTGCGATAATATCGGCTGAGTCTGGTAAGGTTGGTATACCCTCGTCCACGAAAATCCCAATGCATCCCTTAGGGATAACCTCAGCCCAGGCCGTGGCTCGGCGAGACCTTTGATAAACTGAATAAAATTCTCTTCCACTGCATGCCTCCGTAAGACCGACTCCCGGATTGGCGTCTGCCCATCGCAGTATGCGAAGAGATTCTCGTGAGACGAGAACATGGGGTGCCCTGCAGATATCCTGAAGGCTATTTGTCCCAACGACCACATATCGACAAGGAATGGGTCTACGTTGCTTGGATTCCCACTGTACCCAAGCACCTCGGGCGCAATCTCATGCAGGATCCCTCGGGCGGTGATCATGCCCGTCAAGCTCTCATTCAGCTTGCTCAGGCCGAAATCGGCGAGTTTAACCCACCAAGTTGGATGGGTAGTCATTACAAGAACATTCTTCCAAGTTGAAAAGGTTAGGAAGTGCGCGATTGAGTGTCGATTTCAAAACTTACAGAAAGTTTGAGGCCTCCATGGCTGAAACCCTGCTCGTGCAGACTGCGGAGAGCATTTAGGATCTGCCAGGTGACGTCGTAAATATCGGTCTCGAAGAGCCTGCCGCCTAATTTCGGGAGGTATCTGTCGAGGTCTCCGAGCTCGCAGTATTCTGTGGCAATGTGCACCGTACCAATGCCTGTATACCAGCCAAGGCATGTGGCGAACTGGCCCGCGTACTGGAGTGAATGTCTCAGTAAGAACACCTTATTTTCCTCGCTATCGTGAACTAAAGGACGAAACGAACCTCGGGTTGTGAGAATTTGGACACCAGCTCGATGTGCTGATAAACATGTGCGTTGGATTCGTTGGGGTCGTCTGGTAGGCGGATGCTCTTGACGACACGGAGCTTCGGCTGGTCGGTCTGGGCGGTGATTCTCTCCTGCAAAATGACCTCACTACGGTCCCCTTGTCCCAAAATTCGCTTCCAGGTCCATTTTTCTAGTGTCGGATGACGGTGCGAGGACGGCGGGTGAATCGTTAAATCGTGCTGGTCCTCCTCCTCGAAGCGAACGGCCAGCTGCAACTCCTGCACAATGTCCGGGAGACCGTCGAGAGAGATCCCGAGACCCGACATTTCATCTGGAGGCTAGTTCCGCCGCATCCGGCCAGGGCGTTTTGGTATCGAAGCAGGTCCACGAGTGGTGTAATGCGGTGGCCGAGAGCAGGCGTGTCATTTGCGTCGAGGGGCGACGATATGTAGAGAACGGAAAGGGGACCGAGCCAGGAATCCTCCAAAAAGCAAGCTCATAGCGTCATGGGCGGTGACAAGTTTATTATTACGCCCACTAGAGCGAGCCCGGCACAGGCCAGACTGAGCACGATGCCGCCCTCATGCCCAGAACCCAGTCAGCCGGCGAAATTGATTGCGTAGCGCATGCAGCTGTGGGGTGGTTTGCTTTCAAAACAAGTCCAACCTGCCTATAATTGGATATGGGGCTCGGATCCTAACGTGGTCCATGCTTCGCGCGATGATCCAATGTGACACGAGGTGGTGAAGATCAGTCACGAGGATGCCAGCGTATTACAGTGAGACTCGTCCGCGCGGAATCTCCCTGTCTGCTTATTCCGTCCTCCAGATCGGCCGCCATGATGTGCGTCCAGACCGGCGAGAGCGAGCCTAAAAGGGGCGTGTTCTCAGGGGGATCGCCGACCCGCGCAAACGCACGAGCGGAGACGAAGGACAAGAGAGTACATAGTACAGTGGTTCGTGCTAGGCTGGTTTAATTTTAGAAATGTGCCACCTGGCTCCTTTTATTAACCAGTGCTCGAATGAAAGACTACTACGTGCTACCTGAGCGCCCCTTTGCCACTGCATCCTGCGCAGTTGGACTAGGCCACGGCCATGTGTGTGGCGAGACCCGGAAGGATAATTACCGCGTATGGCTGGTAGGATTTGGACGATTTATTGCGTTTATTGCAATCTCCCCGCCTTTAAGTGAAAACATATGACGGCTCGGAGAAAGGCGGTCGGAAGACAGGACCAGTCTCGATGCTCATCCACTCGTTGAATTGTGCTTTGTTTGGCCCCCAGTCTCCAGCATATAAGAACTGCCGAGCCACCGAATTTAGTCGCCTGATGATGACTCCGACTCCCTGCAGTCGACATGCAGCATGTGATGTGTGGGTTGGGGAACTGTCCGCCCCTGGAAAATGAGATTCCTGACACGACGTCTGTGGGGTTTCCAGCTTCTAGAATCGGGGTTAGCTGTGTTTCTGCTCAAATTTACAGTACCGTAACCGAGATGGAGTGTTATTAACCCCACCCAAATATGCGTCAGAGGACCTGGGTACCCTTGATCTCGTGTGTCTGATTGCCGGGTACCGCGGGTTTTCCCATGTTTTCTCCTGTTTCGATAATCTCGGGTCGAAGAGCTGAATTATAAGATATTCCATTGGCCGTAAGCGCACTAGGGTCGCCGTTCCACGGGCGCCATTTCCTCTATAAGCGTTCATCGATGCGAGACGCCCCTCGCGGACAAGTGGCCAAACTGTGGCACAGGACGGGGTTTCTTGGCATCTCAGCGCCTTTACTCAAAGCTGCGGGTCTCCACTTTTCTCTTTTCCAAATCACAATGGAAGAAACGCCGCCGGACGCTCTTCACAACCGCTGCCTTCATTGCTAACTAGAAACTCAAGGTCTGTATGTGATCAAAGGCAAAAGGGCAAACCAAAAAGGAGCTAGCCCAGTAGTCTTGGATACCCTTTATGATGCTATTTAATCTCCCGTATTATATCTGTATCATTTTTATGCTATCCCTGTAGGTATGGGATGTTATGTAGAAGCAAGCCTTCGCATAAACCGACATCTTGGCTGCCACAAAATTCAGGATATCCATATAGGCAATCCGAAAGATTGTATTTGTGTTTTAATCTCCAGACATCAACTGGCCACATACTAAAGTTGATCCATGGCTTACTAATGCCAACAGACTTATCGTTCAAAACCAGGGATTAAATGAGAGCGTCATAACAGTGAAAACAGATACTACTGTTTTGAAGCGAGGAAATGATCGATTTATCAAACTTGCATCTCTAGATGGGGCATAAATTTTGCCTCGCCAATCGATCACGTGCGTGGGGCTTACATGATGCGTTAGAGTTGTTGCCTTCACCAGATTGCTGAGAGCGGGGTTGGCCTACAGACACATCATCAAAGCTTTGAAATCTCCACGACAAACCGAGCTAGCTCACTTTATCTTCCTTCCAATGGATCGTGAATCGGAGGGCCAAGAGGCCACTAACTCAGCCGATATTCGCACCTTGAGTAGGTCGAATACATCGCAAAGCATAACTGTCCCTGAGACTGCTTATCTGTACGTCTTGAGTCCTATATGAGACAGGCCATTATCGATAGACTAAAACAGACCAAAACCTAAAGTCAAGCCATCGGCCACGGAGAGGGGGTCCCTGACGAAGATTCCGTGGACGTTGAACCCCTGAATTTCCGGCTGGATCTCAAAACAGCCGATTTTTTGATCCTGAAAGTGTTTGGAGAACGAGGACAAATGCGAGTCGTGCGGCATCGTGTCACAGGAAGCATGATGATACAGCGGGTGCGATAGTGTTGCTCTGTACCGGGCCAATCCAAGCTCTAGAGACATGAATGTCATGGCTAACTGTCGTGAACAGATCTACGACATGGTTGATCGGAAACAGCTCATCCGGGATTTCCGAGTGATGTCTCAATGTGTATCAAATCGTCTGGTAACATTTTTAGGTGCAACTCAGGGACTGACTGATAGCCTCGGGGTATATATGGAGTATATGGAACTGGGGTCGGTGTTACAAAATTATCTCCCACCTTAAGACACATGCCTTCGAACTAACTCATGTGTATTTCTGCATAGGTCATTTCAAAGAATAGTCCATCTCACCGGACCCATCCCCGTAGATATTTTGGGGCAAGTTGCACTGGCCGTCATGGAAGCTTTACTCTACTTACACGAGAAGGGTTTCATTCACCGGGATGTACGGACATCCCGGATCCTAGCTAATCTCAATGGTGAGATAAAGCTCGGTGGGTTCGGACTGTCCATATTACTTGAGGACGAAACTGGCTCGACCTTCTTGCCCTCATACAAGGAAAAGTGCCTATACGCAAGCCCAGAAAGGATTCTTAACAAGTCTCACGGGCCTTCAAATGATGTTTGGGGCTTCGGGATGTGCTTACTCGAGCTTCTTCAGGGCTTTAACCCCTTTCAAAAGCTTAATCTTCACCAGTTGGTAGTACGGATTGCTCATGGGCTAGCCCCGGAGATATCTGAAGATCATGATTGCCCGGAGTCACTTCGCAATTTGATCAGAAAGTGTCTTGTTTCTGATTATTCTCAACGATCAACCTTGGATGAACTTTACGTACGTTTAATGGGGCATAGAGAAGCTCGAACATCCCTAAGCTAACTTTGATAGAATGATGACGCCTTTATTACTTCAGCTAAAACTACAGACGTGAATCGTGGCGAGTGGACTGCCAAGATATTTCACAAGATGGAATCTGGACAAACTGGTTAGGATATCCACAAATCTACCGACGCCCCAGTAAGTTCTAACAGTGGTTTTTAGATAGTATCAGCAACGTCTTTGAGTCTAGCGAGACAACTTCAAGCTTTGGATACCGAGAAGATCCGGGTTTCCCAACAATGAGCTTCGAAGTCACCTCATTACTCAATCATTTGTCCGCTCTAGCTACCCCCGCAAGAAGTTCCTCCACTGAAAATGCCCTTTACCCTCTCTGTGCCGCGTGTGACGCGGTTGTGTCGAATGCCGTCAGCAAGCTCGGAGGCAGTGGCCAGTATATGCAAGAGGTAAATGGTTCGAAGTTGCAGCCCGGGTGCCCTCTTTGCCGACTCAAACGTGATTGCTGTCCCGGAGAGGACGAGACTCGATTGATAAATACGAAGACGTCTTTCAAAGGCATGCAGACAGCCAAGAATTCTGCCTCCCTTGGCAGCGCAACACTTATTATGGACCAATTGAGTGGTAAGTTTTTTTCGCAATTCGGGAAAAGGATTCGTAGCTAAAGCTCGCCGCATAGGATCCATGCATAAAACTATGAAGAAAATAGTTGATTCAGATAATGACAAGACAACTGGTTCAGACTGTGCCTTTCAAATGGCAGCCGCTTGGTTGAAGACTTGTCTGATTGAGCATACAGAATGCAGGCTGGGCCAACTGATTGAGTTAAGTCGCTTGCCGAAGCGCATCATAGATGTCGGACCAGAAGACGGTTCGGAGGCGCCTAAATTATGTCCTGGAAAAGGTCGACGCGGCCTTTACCTGACACTGAGCTACAGATGGTCTGAGCATACCAGCAATTTCATGACGACAAGGCGTAACCTCAAGCAGCACTACTTTGAGATCCCAGCCCAGAAACTTTCGCAGACAATAAGGGACGCGATCACCATTACTAGGAGGTGCGGACTGAGGTACTTGTGGGTAGATGCTTTGTGTATCGTGCAAGATGATAGGAGTGATTGGCAGGTTCAAGCCGAGTCAATGGCCTCCATTTATCAGAATTCTTTGTTTACGATATCCGCAGCTGGAGGAGGAGCCGTGAGATCCCGGGACGGTTGTTTCAGTCAAAGAAAGAGAGGTAGAGTTAGGCCCGTTGACTGCCAACGGGTCTGGCCAGATGGCTCGGCGGTGTATGTATTCGCTGATAGGCTTGCTACTGGAGATGGAATCCGACCAAAAAGCGTGCTGGACACGAGAGGCTGGATCCTACAGGAACAAATCCTCTCTCCTAGGATACTGACCTACTCAGAGAATGAGCTGTTTTGGGACTGCGCATCACTGAATGCTTCAGAATCGTTCCCTTCTGGAATTCCGACATTCTATGACTCAGACCTTAGCCAACGGAACCTGCGGCTCTTCAAGACCGCCCTTAGCAAGGGTAAATCATGGCAGTCACTAAACACAAAGAAGGAGTTGGTCCGCGTTTACTGGAGAAAAGTTATTGAGAACTACTCTGCCCGACAACTGTCTGAGGAGGGAGACAAGCTACTTGCTTTGTCTGGTATTGCAAACAAGACGGTCAGTATCACCGGAGATGAGTTAGTCTTTGGCATGTGGAAGTCTTTCCTATGGCGAGAGCTTCTTTGGTGGGTGAAGGATCCGAACAATACAATACCTGGAGAAGTCTACGGTTCGGTCAGCTGGTCTTGGATATCTCTTCATGGTGCTATATCGTTTGAACTCGCGCATGATTCAGAAGACTATATTGTGGATCCATGCATTGAGGTTCTAGACGTCAATATCTGGTCAATTGATTCAGATGACTCGTCTGACTCAGATTCGCCATCCCACGATGAGGCAACAAGAAATGCCGAGCCTCTCATTGGAGAGTTGACGCTCAGGGGTAGACTGATACCGCTGCTGCCTTACTTATCGGGGCTAGACGATAGTGGTAACCAAACCTCATCTCCCATCGTGCTCTCAAAGTGGCGAGAGGATATTGAGGGTATTGACGCTGGCGAAGCGAAGTGTCTCATCGTCGCGGTATCAGCTTTTTACGTTTATGGGTTAGCACTCTATCCCTATCCCGAACAAGAACAGGAACAAGGTGAAGTTGGCGAAGCATTGCGTATCACCTATGGGCGGGTTGGGTTTGTACAATGGATTTTGTCTGATATCAAGAACTCAGACAACCTATGGCGGGAATTTGGCTGGGATCGTTCTGCGCGTCGGTGGGCCAATGAGTTGGACCAGCAATGTATCATAATTCGATAATCAGATAGGTTCTAGGCTTCATGTTAGTCTTATTCTTTTCATAATTTCACTCGCATCAATGACGGCCTCGATAGAATTTTATGTGTGAGGAGAAATTTATGCAGACAAGCGTAATCAAGGAGTAATCTGCTAGACTTGGCTGGTGGAATGACGCTCTGCATTATCTGAAGAACCTGATTTTCACCAAAGAGCTAGCTATCTCTACTAAGAGTACGGCTAGCGACTCTAGCATTATCTTGGACGTGACACAAAGGTGGCAGTGAAGCATGCTAGTCTGAAAGCGACATGTGCTCTAGAACACGCTCTGCAGCTGACGCCTATCGATTCTCCCATGAATGCGTAGATTTCTATACTTTGCCAATAACATAAGAAGGAGTAGTCTTACCTACTCCGTGACCCGCCGCTCAGGGAGCATTAAGACATGTAAGACTATCAAGGCTACTAATCAAAGAGTTATAGCCTTCTACTCTATGAAGAGTGATACTAAACCTGGACCATTAGCCCGCTATCATATTGATTCCGGCAAGACGGAAATGTGTTTCTCACATCAATGACATCAACGCAACGTCTGGGCTGTTGAGAAAATAGTCTTTGGGCGAGTTGTAACAGATTTCAATTTGCTATTAGCATGTCTGGCAAGTTACCTCGGATAGTAACAGCCGCTTCAACATTAACCACGGGGCAGATATGTGTTAAAGATACCGAGCCACGAGTTCGGAACACGGTCTTTGGGCAACACCTCTTGTTTTCCCCTCTCAACAGGGTAACGAACGGGCTGCCAATCCAAATTTCCTTGATCGTCAGTCCAGCATGTCATATCTAGATATTCGAGCCCCAGGGTGGAGACAGAATAGACCTCCAACCGGCTACGGCATGCTTGTCCCGGAGATTTGGTGGCCTCGATCTACGTACACCAAACCAGCTGCGCTAGATGGTACTATTGGTGCCGAATCATGTAAACTAAAGGCCGTTGTGTTGATTTAATAGTGGAGATCGTCTCGGTGCTTGGCTAGCCGAAATGAAGATCCAGGGGCAATGAGTGCATCTCTGATTGACTAGACGGCGTATTTTATTGGAGAACTTGTGACTCTGCCCATCTTCGTGTGCTCCTTCTTTCCAGTCCTCACCTTGCGGAGACATTATCTACCTGCTCCGGTAGGATACGCTCGTTGTTGTCCCTCCGAATTGCTGCCTCTCCATCTACCTCAAGTCTTTGTGGATTGCAACGAACATGATGCAGGGTCTACTCAAGGCAATCGTGTTTGCCTCTCTTGCAAAACTTGGTTCTACCGCATGCTTCGAAGCCGCTGCAACAGGTGGGAGCTGTAGTGCTGCTGGTTCAACTGGGGGGGGGAATGAAACTGTGATACCCGAATCAAGCTGTGAACAATTATTTTAACAGAATGAACAGGTTACACCTGCACCCTCGGCGAAAATCATTGCAGAATGTGGAACTGCTTGTGCCGCCTCCACCGTAAGTATATCGTTGCGAGGGCCGGAGTTTGAATTTGACCATGAGGCGATGAGAGGCTGACGTGCAGATCCAGAGTTGTGGTTTCTACCTCTGGTATAATACCAACGCTTGCTATCTCTATTCCAATAGCTATGAGGCCGCCAAAATCACTTGCAGTACACCATCTTCAAACCGATATCAATTCGTCAAGAGCGTTTCTTGCCCGTCTTCAACTGTCCCGTCTTCAACCATCCCATCGTCAACGGCCCCCTCTTCGACAAGCGAATCATCCGTTGTAACACCATCTTCAACCGACCTTTCTTCCAAAGTCCTATCATCGACTACTCCATCCTCCACACCACTTTCCACAAGCGTTTCTTCCTCGATCCCATCCTCGGACACTCCATCCTCGACGATTCCATCTTCAACAACGCCATCTTCAACACTAGATTCGTCTACAACCCGTCCTCATCGATCGTCTCTACACCCCTTGAAACTCCATCTTCAACACCTGATTCAACACCTGATTCATCTGCATCGCAATCCTCAACGGTCTCGTCCACGCAGCCTCTCGACACTCCATCTTCGACATCTTCAACTACGCCATTGTCAAGCCCGATATCGACCACTGAGCCTGCGGCTACTCCGAGCACTACACGAAAGTGCCGGCCTAGGAGTAAACGCAACGAGCTGTGATTGGGCTAGTGTGCAGGAAAATTCTTGTGGGAAATCCAAACGATATTGTTCACTCCATCAAGTTGAATAATTGGCACTAGGGATCAACGAATACCAGTTTGAGTAAATAGCCATAACATGCAAAGGTGAAGCATTGTCCAGGATCTCGTTTCAAACTAAGGATCAAGCCCCTCCGAATATTCATGCCAAGAATACCGCTGTAATGAGTATCCCAGGGTTTTTACGGAAGGTATTTTTGGAAGTATATTCTCACTGAAAACATCTAGATGAGAGGAGCTTGGTAAAATGTGTACATGTATAGAAATGACTCTTGGATACGCACATGAGAAATGCTTGGATTGTTTCTAACGCGCTTCTCGAACCCGGAACGTTCATTTTGGCGTGTCGAAGGCTGCTTGAGCTTGTGATAATCCGCCCTCAATAATTTTGGTGGATCTGTCTCCTAGAATGGCGCATACAGCGTTACATCCCGCGCGACACAGCGGCATTAGTACCCCTCACCGGCCAGGTTGAATTGAATCATCCTTGTATTCTGCCCATATCAAGTCCAACAGCTGATTCTACAGCAGAGTGATCCATTGACCCGAAAGCGACATGTCAACAGCACCTGCTCGAGAGGATCCCCTCGTTCTGTCCCCAATATCGGGGCAGCACACTGCTACGGTGATCATCATTCACGGTTTCGGTGATTCGGGCCATGGCTGGGCCTCGGCTGTTGAGCATATTCGCCGTCGGCATGACCGCCTGGACGACGTCAAATTTATCCTTCCTCACGCGCCAAACATTCCTCTAAGCATAGCAAGTGCACGTCTTCACGCTTATGAGAGGGCATCTTGCTAACGTGTGCGCGTATTTTCATTCAACCAGACGGGCGGCATCCGGATGAGGTCCTGGTTTGATCTTGTGTGTAATTAGTGTTTCCTGCTCGACAACTTACTGATCTTGGGGATAGACGAGTTCGCCTGGTCGTCTGAGTTCGTTGTCCGCTTGTCAGGGCGAAGATGTCTCTGGCGTTTTGGAGACACAATCCTACATTCACTCTCTTATCCAGACTGAAATAGCAGCTGGAATTGCCCCAGAGAGAATCATCCTCGGAGGGTTTTCTCAAGGAGGAGCGATAAGTATTTTCTCTGGCCTTGCCGCACCTATCAAACTCGGAGGTATCGTTGCGCTTTCGTGCTGGGTGCTACTTCACAAGGGGTTCCCAGAATACATCCCAGACGAGGATTTGAACAAAGACACGCCCATCTTCATAGGACACGGGGACCAAGATTGGCGTATAGAGTATCAAGTGGCTATTGACAGTGTCGCACTGCTTGAAGAGGCCGGCTACAAGATCACCTTCCACACATACAGGCGAGTTTTCGTTCCACCGGTGTATGTATTTCTTTCTAATGTTCTTTTAGGGGAATCGGTCATTCTGTTTGCCGGGAGGAGTTGAATGAAATCGAGGAGTTTCTGGTTTCGGTATTGGTGAATGGATGATAAGTTTGCCAAAGAAGCGCGAGATTTCCTTGAAATTGCGTCCACTCAACGAAGAAAAACAATTTATAATCAGCAATGGGCTTAGAAGAATTGCGAATAGATGATGAAAACCTCAATCTGCCGACCATTATGATGAAATATTTCGTCCTGATGGTGCGCCGGGCAACAAGCCTAGTGGCCGGGCAATCAGACTGAACTTTGACATATTGTATCCTTGCAGGCTGTAACTTTCTGGGGCGAAATAGGATTTCACGCACTGAGGACGCCGCCCAGCACAAGTTTGCTGAGCCCACAGTTTCAAAGCTTGCGTGCGGATACCAGCATTCACCGCTGAGTGGGACAGTGGCGCCACTTGCAGACGGCTAATCAACACATAGGATGTGCGGGGTATTTCTTCATGTCTAAATGATGAAGGGAATCTCGAACAATGTTCATGTCTCAGAAGCTTGAACGACATATTTGTTGATCCGTTGGTCGATTCAAGCTGAGAGCATCCAAATGTCATGTGACTGACTGCATCTTCATGTAGCACGTGACCAAAACCTATCGCAAGTGACAGGTACGTACCTACTTCACATGTCGGCATTCGTGAGATACATCTGCCCCATTTACATCTTCCTTTACTTCTTCTCAGAAACTCTATGGGTGTGATATAAAAGCGGCCAATCACCCTTGCATCTATGCCTATTATTTCTTGCTTCGCCATTGTACTTTTCTCCAAGGCATTCTTTCTTTGCAGCGGCAATTCTCCGGCTAATCATCAACAGCGTCCAGAAGGATCGCCCAAAGTCACACAAACGGAATCATCCGTCAATCAATCAAGATCAGCTCAGCATCTCTCGCTCAACTCCCAGTGTTTTGGTTCTATAGACTTCCATAGCATCGCGCTTCGCTCCAGGACGTGCCAAGTGTCATCGTCTCCAGTCTCTTCCTAGCCGGGCCCAAGGATGCCCCATCGATCCGGCGCTCATCACTCCCATCATCACCATGGCGCCGGTAGCGACAGGCTGGCATCGTTACCGGACGCGATCCTCATTGACATCTTCGAGGCCGTCAACCGCCTCTCCAAGCGCGACCTCTGCGCCGTGTCCCGGCTGAACAAGCGCTACCATGTCCTGGCCGACGCCGTCCTGTACAAGACGGTGCACTTCCTGACGCCCGAGCTGCACCTCATCTTCAGCGAGTCGCTCAGCCGCCGCCCTCGCCGCGGCTCCTCCATCCAGGCCGTCAAGCTCGCATACCCTGCGTCCAAGCTGTCCAGCCTCATCTCCCGCGCGCCCATCCATGGCTCGCAGATGCACCAGGACCACCCCGCCTTGCCGTTCGACAGCCTGTCGCGGACCATCTCCACAATGTCCAATCTGGAGACGCTCGATGTGGCCGTGCCCGACACGCTGCTCCACGGCATGGGCATGCTGTTCAACGGGCCCTTTGACCTGGCCTGCCTCCAGTCGTGCACGCTCTTCTACCAGACCGAGAACGACCAGTACTGGGACCTGTACGAGAACATCCACATCTTCGCCCACCCCACGCTCGAGACGCTTGTCATAAAGAAGGCGAAGCTCGACTACCGCGGCTTCGACCTCATCGAGCAGCCCCACGAGACGGCGCTCAGCAAGCTCCACCTCATCGAGTGCGACATCAACGACGACGCCCTCTCCGACCTCCTCATGTTCCCCAAGGCGCTCAAGGAGTTCGTCATGACCCAGAACGAGGAGCCGTCCCCGGAGCTCGAGGAGAGCTCCGACAGCATCCGCGACTACATGATCGCCGTCAAGTCGGCGTGCCACTCGCTCGAGACGGTCACCATCGACTTCCCGACGCTCATGACGCACCGGGCGCTCGCCCTCCGCGAGTTCGACCACCTCAAGACGCTCCGCATCAACTGGGACCACCAGCTCTTCGGCAAGACGTCTAAGAAGCCGCGGCTCCACTCGGCGGGCCTGCCCCCGGAGCTGGAGACGCTCGAGTTCTTCAACGAGCTGGGCACGGACCCCGAGGTCACGGACCTGTTCGTCTACGCGCTGGAGAACCTCCCGATCACGGCCCGGAAGCTGAAGAGGCTCATCGTCGTGGAGGGGGAGAACGGCATCCCCAAGGCCATCGAGGACGCGGTCAAGGCGCAGCCGCAGCTGAAGCTTGATGTCATCGGCAGCATGGATGACCGGAGCGACAATGAGACTGAAGCGACGGAGACGGAGGCGGAGACGGAGGAGTCTGAGAGAAATGGGGGAGGGGGGACAGACACAGACTGATACACGACCACTTCGGATGGGACGACATGATGGCAGTAGATTATAATCTTTTGGCTTGGTTTTGGAAATCCAATCATAGTTCATAGATGTTTAGATATTAGACTGCATGCGTTTGGAGATTTTGGTTCTTTAGTCTGGTTCAGTCTATAGAGCTGTAGATACGGGTACATGTTGAGCAGCTCAACACAAGACAATAAACAAAGAAATTTTCTCACATGAAGATTATACGCTATGACAGTAATACAAAGAAGTTGCAGTTGTTCACTTCAGCTAATTCATTCAGGACTTTGGCTGAATAATGGGCATGGTGTTAATCCTGTGGAACAAACCACCAGGGAAAATCACCATTTGTACAACTCCGATCAGTCTAAGAGGGAAAAGAAAAGAAAAGAAAAGAGCTTGAGAGTATTCACAACGCTATGGGTTTTTATGGCATGTTACAGCATTCAAGAGTCGGGCGATGTGCAAATGAATGAGCTTGTTCACGAACCACCACTTTCTGGCCCAGGTACTTAGTTGACCACCACTACCCTATATCTCTCGGTGGCTGATTGGTATTCAAACCCGCACACGTTAGATATAGAAGTAACTTGATATATTTCCTAACCATAGCGGCTCTCTACTTTTTCACCCGGAGATGGCATACCGTCTCTAAATTTAAACACAATAGTAGCGTTGGTGGGTGTTCGGAAGGCTATAATCATGACAGCACTCATATGAGGCGGCGTAAGAGTACTTAATACATCCTAATAAGCACCAAGACTCAAACTTTGAGAAATGGAATCAGGTCTCATCGTACATTCATAATTATTCATAACAAAGAACAGATCATGCTGTCAAGGTATCTAAACATGCCAAAGCAATCTTCCCCAGCTGCCATCGCTGCCTGCGGCCAAAGGCCTCCCTCGCCCAGGCCAGAGCTCCCTCCGAATCTCCATCCTGCACATTGACTATCTTCATTGCGTCTGCTACACCCCCCCTGACGAGTTGCCAGGCAATCATGAAAGCCTTGTAGGAGTATAGGATGATCCACGGCGCCTCTGCATCTGGCACGGGCTCCATGTCCAGATACTGCAGGAACCAGTTGACGTGCGGCTGTATCGTCTTGGCGGTGTCAGCCTCGCAAAGAAACTCGCACGATGAGGGCAGGAAGGTGAATTGGTGCATCACGGCGTCCATGCTGCCCTCGACTATCCCGCCGGTATGTGATGGGGACCACATCTGTAATTCGATCATGGCCGCCTCCCACGTTGCCTCGCCCAAGTGGGACGGGTTTGATGCCTCCGGATGTGAGTGAATGAATGGACTGAGGGCGAGGAGGGAAGTCCTCAAAGGCTCCAGCCTCTCCATGCTGAGCATCCCGGTCATGGTGGACCAGCCAGAGATTTCCCGGGCGCTAGAAACAAGGAAATGCGTAATATTGATGGCGCCGTAGGAATCGAACGCGGGGATCGACGCAGGATCGCCTTCGGGGGATAGGAAACGCCTGATGGCATCGGGGTATGGAACCGAGGAGCCTGTGTTCTTGTTGACGAGCTGTCGATGTGCCCACTGGACGGATGTAGGTGCGGCCCAGTAGTCCTCTGGACAAGGCAGTTCGTGCTTGATTTCTAAATGGGAAAACAATCGAGGGATCGAAAGGAACTGGTACCAGAGCGTGTCGAGCTGGTGGACGGCGAAGATGGTTCGCTTATGCGACTCCGCTCTGATGAACTCGTGCCACAGCGAGTCGAGGTCTTCTGTTGCCTCCGAGGCGTTTGTGAATGTGGGCTGAGCCATGCCGGATGATCGGGCTAGGGATATTATTTTGGAGTGCGTCTTGAGGCCGTACAGCGAATCTTTCTTGCCACAGAGATACATCATCGAGTAGAGTTCTAGGAGAAAGTAAGCCTGGACCATAGCGACGTGCTGTGCCAGGGTGCTATCCTCGACCCCCTCCTCATCGCTGGCGACAAGGGCACGGGCTCGATGGAAAGTTCGCGAGGACAGACTCTGGCCAGTTCCTGATTGGTCGCCGCAATCGGGATCCTCACCATACTGGTAGGCGAGACACAGTATGCTCAGCACGAGGTGGTTTGCCGATTGTGAGGGATCGAAGGATGGCTGGTGTAAAAAGGGAACGAAAGGAGATACATGGGTGAAGAAGAGATCGCACCCCCGCGTGATCTGGTTATTCGAGGGAAACCAGTCGTCTTGCAGGTGGGGCAAGCTCATTGGGAAGAAGCCCTCTTCAGGGGTGGCTTGGTCGAAGTTGAAGCAGGAGAGGTCTGTGGCGAACGACGTCGTCGAGTGCGGTATATCCATGGGATGCATTTGCACGTCGAACCCTCCGCTGGGGTCGAGGAGGGACGTCCCCATCAGAGGACTTGGTCCCAGGTCGGCTGCGATAAGATGGCCGATGCTGGGAGACTCGCTCGTGGCTGTCGAAGGCTGCGGCTGCTGCGCAAGGATATCGGTGAGGAATTGGGCATCATCCTCCTCGCTGCCCTCACTGCCCTGGGAAGCAACGCGTGATTTCTCTGCTTGTAAAATCGCTTGTGCTGGAGGGGACGGGGCCTGACGGGGGCTCTGACGTCTCTTTCGTGGGCGGGTGTCTTCGAACTCGGCATGCTTCTTCTTCATGTGGCGATGTCGAAGATCGGGACGGGAGAATGTGGCACTGCAAAACTCGCACGGAAGCGAGGCATTGCTCGGGGAGCGGTTGTGGAGGGCGGCATGTCGCTTGAGGTTCTCGTGCCGGGTGAAGCGGCTGTGGCAGATGTGGCACTGGAAGGGCTGAAAGGGAGGACGTTTGGGCTCGGCGACATTGGTACTGGCACTGGCAATCGACATGGCGGGAAGAAATGGGGGAGAGGTGTGAGGAATAATAATTAATGTACAAGATGCGTGGGCCAGGGGGATTGATTGGGAAGGCTGATTGATGGTCTGCTGGGGGGCTGTTTAGTGACGACGGCGGGGGGAAGGAGCGAGATGCAGTGCAGCAGAAGAGCCGAAGTGTGAGATAACAGGCAATCGAGGGCGGCTGGGCCCCGATAAGCAAGCGAAGCCCACTGTAGATTGAGGCCAGGGGTGGTGATTGGGCGGTGGTAGAGGGGAGATAGCGACCGCTGGGCCCTGAGTCTCTCCCCCACAATCTTTCCAGCAGGTCTCCCCGCATACGCATGACACTGGAAACTGGTCGTGTATTATTGGTCGTGCGCTTATCTTCTCTCCACTATTTCTGTGGCTGTCTATTGGCTTAGCCAAGTTCCCGGCTCCACAGTGCAAGGTCTGGGTTCTCAAGATTCTCCCTCAAGCTGTTTTTAAGCGAATTGGCCCGCTACCCCTCAAAATCTCCAATTCCGTTACGTAACGATGCGATCTGCTGACTGCAATGGCTTTTCCTTGACCTCGGCCACGATGATGGAAATATGCAGTTTGAGTTATTGCCGACTATTGAGAGCTAAGAATACATAACTTGGAGATCTTATTCTAAATAATATTGATTTACATCGTTTTCTACCGGAATTCTGTTACGTAGTTGATGAGCTATAACTACCTACAGTTGGTAATATATAATATATATTTCTTCTAGTAGCAGGTGCAACCTAAAGTTATTAAAATATAGTTAAAAGTAGGTCAATGGCGGCTATTTGATAGAGGTGGCTGGCTATACGATAGAGCCTTCTATTTCAAACCAGTTGGTAGGAGTGACACGCACTCACTCACCTCACCCTTACCATGATCCATATCACTCCCCTGGGATAGAAACCTAGCTAGTCTATTTGATAGAGTAGATACACACATTACACATCGATCAATACATCTCGTAGCGCCACCCGAGTTGGACCATTTCCTCCGTGACGCCTCCCTTGATGACCTTGGCAATCTGCTCTGGCTCACCAGAATCAAGACGCTTGTTCTCGCGCAGGATGTACCAGCGGTAGAAAGTGATGGTCAACATGAAGATGAAAGCACAGCCCATGAGCGTACCGAAGGCGGCATAGAAGTGGGGAGCGCCAAAGTACAGGTAGGACGACCAGATGTTGGCTGTGCCTCCGATGGCGTTGACCAGAGCGGAAGCAGCTGCGCGCTTGGCCACAGGCCGTGCCAGGTGGAGGTTGATGGTCTTGTAGAGAAGAAGCTGGGGACCGACGGAGGCGAATGGAAGCATCATCATAGCGAAGTATCTAGGAATATGTTAGTAAGTATGCAGAATCATAGCAGCATATTAGTTGGAAACTTACCTTCCGCCAATGTTGACGGTGGCCATTGGGATGATGTACATTCCGATAGCGATAGAAATGCAGATCAAAATGGGGACATAAGCCGTATTCTTGCGGTCTGAGTGCCACATGATGAAGTAATAGACACCGGCAGCGAGGATATATGGCGGCGCGGTGAGCACCAGGGTAAGAGTGCTGTTGTAATTGAGTGAGGCAACAATAGTAGGGAAGAAGTTGGCGATAGATCCCTGGGCCTGGGAAAGGAAGTTGCAACTACATTCGTGTTAGTTTCGCTCAAGATAAAGGGCGAAGGAAACATGTCCATCCGATGATGACAAAGGAGAAGTAACTCACAAGATCAACAGTAGAAGCTTAGGATCCTTAAGGGCCTTGGCGAAGCTCTTCAGAACGCTTTCCTTCACTGTACCCTCTGCTGCACCGGCTCCGGACTCGATACGCCAAACTGCCAGATCGCGTTCCAGCTGGTTAAGGATACGGCTGTTGTGAGGAAATTCGGGCATGAAGAAGCCGCAAATCAGACCTATTCCGACCGTAGCCACACCTTCAATGATGAAAAGCCACCTCCAGCCACGGATTCCGTGACGGCCATCCAACTGGAGGATAGCAGCGGCGAGGAGACCACCAAAGGCGTTACCGACTTGCTGCGCAATGTACAAACTGGCAATTCGCTTTCCGAGCTCGGTCTTGGTGTACCACGCAGAGAGGTAGTAAATAGCACCTGGAAAGAAAACAGCTTCGGCAACACCGAGAATAGCACGAACGCCAAGCAACTGCGAATAGGTGTTCACAGCTGCAGTCGCTGCAGAGATACTGCCCCAAAGCACCACGGCGCAGCAAATGTATAAGCCGGGTCGGGACAACTTGGTGATGATGAGGTTGCTAGGGATTTGAAAGGGAAGGTATCCGACGAATAAGATAGAGATCGCAGTGGCAAACTGCTCCGTTGTCATGTGAAGATCGTCGGTGATACCATGCAACTTGGCAGCAGCAAGGTTCTGACGGTCGATGTAGTTCAAAATGTATAGAATTCCAACGATGGGAAGGATAACCAGGTCGATCTTGCGGACAAGCTTCTTCTCGAGGCGTTTCATCTCGTCAGCGCTGTACTGGCGAAGAGATTCCGGCATCCGGTCATAGGTCACATCAGCGACCTCGCCGTCCGTCTGGGAGAGAGCAATGCTCTTCTTGCCATCGTCATCCCCCTTCTGGGAAGTCATGGTTGTGAGGGGAGGAGGGGATATGGAATAAGGTATTGTCTTGCCGGGTTGGAAGTTGAGAGTTGAAAATTCTTCTTTGGCTCTGAACCTGGTGAGTGAAAATCCTGTCTTGGACGGACGGAGACTGAGTATTTAAGTTGTGCAAGGAAGCAGATAACGGTGACCTTCTACTCCAGGCGATCGGCTGGCGCACGAATCACTGGAACCATTTTACAAATGATATTGCTGGAGAGTATAGACGGGCTAGAAGCCTTGTTCGAGTCAAACTTGGTCCGGGGCCAAGGAATGCCCGGACAGGGTGGGTGGAGAGCACGCGTCGTATCCGCTTTGATAGGAAACTCCAGATTAGCCCGTTCGAATCTGTACTAGACTCAGCAGCGGTATGAGGTACGTAGCCCGGTAGCCGAACAGTCCTACTCGTCGCCTGCATAATCTGGGGTCCCCACAGAGGATTAGCGGCGACATAAATTGCGGCTCACCGATGCCGTTGACTCTACGATGCTGTTGACTGTCTTTTTGGCACAATATCCAAAGGAGTTGAATTAATCAGCATTGCCATGTCTTCAAAATTATCAATATGGTAGTTTGTTATCTTGTCTTCTGTTGTTATTGCGGTTGTTTTTGTCTATCAAACACTAGCTACTCGATATCAGAAAGCCTGGAAGGCCGACGCCACCCACTTGCATGCATGATAGAGACCCTGACGCAGCCAAGGCCCAACACACGCGGTGGGCCCTTATCTAATCGGAGGAGCTCACGTCTTGGTGATCCGGTTGGTCCCTGTTCGTGATTGCGAGTGACACGGGGGAGCTCCTCCCGGTGGAGACTCTCAGATCTGGCCCCGGTCTTAGCTTCACAACTAACCACTTAGCATCAGTGATTCAGCCGCAGTGCAGCCCGAGGGTGCTCTCCTTGAATATCCCGAAGAGCTCCCCAAAGTGTTAGCTCCATCTGGGGAAAAGTAGCTTGAGTTTGGCGCATAAAACCCGCCATCAGCAAGGGGTTCGTTGGAATATCGAAAGACAACCTGCACATACATCAAGTCTACCCTTCCTTATCATATCATCCGCCACCCTGGCTTGGCTTCAGAGTCATCGTCTAAGAAACGTAATCCTTCAGAACAGAACATACATTACCAAAATGAGCTACCCAACTGCCCACAACACGCAAGTCCAGAACCCTCGTCTGAGGCTTCTGAATAAGCTCAGATCAGGGGAGTACCCCCTGATGACCTTTATGGCCATCCCGTCAGTGCGCCAGGCTCAAATTGTCGCCCTGACTGGCCTTGACGGCATCATTATCGATGCCGAGCACGGTCACATTGGCGACGACTCCATGCACAACTCGGTCGCCGCCATCTCATCCCTGGGTGTCTCGCCCATCATCCGTATCCGCGGACCTGCCCACGATATCATCAAGCGCGCCCTTGATACCGGTGCCCACGGCATCATGGTCCCACAAATCAACAATGCTCAAGAAGCCGCCCAGATTGTGGCTTCCTCCAAGTTCCCCCCACAGGGTGTGCGTGGACAGGGCTCAGCCTTCCCAGCTATCGGGCACGGCCTTACCACGCCCGAGTACATGAAGTCGGCAAACGAGACCATCCTCACCATGATCCAGATCGAGACCCGCGAGGGCGTCGAGAACGTGGACGCTATTGCGGCCACTCCCGGCGTAGATTTAGTCTTCATCGGACCCAATGATCTGGCTCAGTCGCTCCTGGGATACACGCCCGCACGGGGAGACGAGCCTGAATTCGTCGCTGCAGTTGATAAGATCATCGCTGCGGCGAGGAAGCATGGCAAGTGGGCTGGGCGTATGGTGAACAACGGCACAGTGGCCAAGGAGGAGCGCCCAAGATACGACACCGTGGCCATCACCGGAGACACTAAGGCCATTCAGAACTGGTACATATCCGAGTTTGAGATTGCGAGGTCATAGGTGAATGAAGAAAGGGGGACGGTGGAAAATGTTTGAAATTGCATGGCGCCACTTAGATTTATAGACGAGTAGGATCGCATTGTTCTTCACGCGCCGGAAGATATGTGTGGGGACTTTTATCTTTTACCATTTTCTACAGCTCAATTTTACCGACCTGCTGATCATTTGTGGCCTGATTCTTTCCCAGTGATGACATCCTTCCTGGTTTGTGAAGCAATATGAAGCTAAAGGAGTGTGCATTACGTGTGTTCCTTGCACATGTACCTTGAGTACACGCCTCTGATAACCAGGTTATGCGTTCATCATATCCGCTTGTGAACGGATCCAGGAAAGCTACCCGATAATGGATCACCTGGAAGTGTCTGTAATACACTCGTGCCCTTCCATAGACTTCTGAAATGAGCATACTCACGTGCTCAAAAGGAGATTATGATATTGGAGGACTGTGCTTCAAAAAGGCCAAACTTGGGCTATCCAAACGTCACACCCCGGAATCTCAACAAAGGGGGTGTACAGAAGAGTATATAGTGTTCATTTGATCTTAGAGGCCTGTGCCTCACGAACGCCAAGATAACCTATTATAATAGTCACACCCGGAGTAAAGGAGGGGCAAAGAAGGAGAATAGCACCGGGGTACCGTAGATTCAGGATTCTTTATCTTATTTATTCTATTTACATTTGACTAGTCTATCCCTTTGCACCACATGTAGCATTTATACCTGTGCAATGCACTCAATCTCAATAACAGTACCATCGCCGGGGGGAAGGGCCTGAAGGCAAGAGCGCGAAGGCATGGGCTTGGGGAGGAATTCAATGTAGACCTCGTTCATAGCAGCAAAGTCCTTCATGTCGGCAAGGTAGACATTGTACTTGACGACCTGCTCGAGAGAAGATCCCGAGAGCTCAAGAACTTCCTTGAGGTTCTGCAGGACGGTTCTCTGTTCAGTCGAAGTTGCGTTAGTCATCTAGAATCTCAGGTCAAGGGAAAATGACACCTACAGTAGCCTGCTTGATCTCTCCGGTAGCCGTCTGGCCTGCAAGGAAGACAAGGCCAGGAACCTTAGTAGCAGGGCCTACATGAAATAGTCAGAAAAAGTTATGTCTTCAGGGATAGCTTCTCCCCGCAAGATCTTGGCTCTTCGAGAGCCGGGTAAAGGGGAACACACAGTTGTGAGGCTTGGGAGGGAACTTTTCGCTGGAGATGAGTTCGCGAGACATGGCTGCTGATTGGGGCGGGTTGAATTGCGATGGTGTGGTGGTGTGAGTTTATTGTTTTGTTCCGTGCAAAGATACAAGAATTAGCTGAGATGAGCTTGATTATGAGATGACCCCTGGCAAATAATTACTATTGTTGTAGCCTTTTAAGATGCCGAGGGCTGGTGAGCTTTTCGCGTGAGCTGGGGGAGGAGTGGGAGGAGCTCCCCCATGCCAGGTTGCCACCAAGTCTCCGCAGGGGTCTTCATGCTCCATGACTCGAAATGGGTGCTCCCTAGCTTATCGGGAGGAGGTTTCCATGGTGCGGGTTGATGGACGGAGGAGCTCCTCCCATCTGTCTCCACACTGGGCAGGCCGGTGGATGTCTGCTCATTACCCCGGATGGATCGATAACGCGGACAATCGAGTACTAAGATCAAACTGACGTGTCATTATAGGAATTGATGAGGGTGAGCTCTTATCTCGTGACAAGGGGCGGAACCGAAGGTTTGGGATAACGAGCGTAACTGGGTGGACCTTGCTAAACGACCGTGGGGAGAAGAGCCCACCCCACAGAGAAGACTTAGCAAAAGCAATGACACTTATGGGTCCAGGAGAGCAGGTGGCGATCGGAGGAGATTGAGCTCTTGGGCATGAATCTAGAGCTTGCCTTTCTCGGCCAACACTGGCTTCCGCACTATGGGGACGGAGCCCGCTCAGAGGAGCCAGCTCTGGCACTCACTGGGAACATACGTTGCACTACTCTTCCGTTAGTTGCGCACCTGACATAGGGCACCTAAGATAAAAGGGCTGTTTGGCCTCCATGAAGCTCCGAACTAGCATCACTCACAACCATTCAGATGATTCCAAGCCTATCAACGACCCATTCCCAACACTAAAACTACTCTCAATCATCCCTCTATCTGATCTTCCCAAACACCATGGCACCCAGCGCCCCCTTTAACCCCCCGGCTGCTGACCTCCCTGGCAAGCCTCATGTACCTGAATGGGTCCCTCCTCCAGTCACCCAGCAAAAGGAGAACTTTGCTGAACTCACCTCCATTGACCTTTCCCTCCTCGACTCTGATGACCCCGCTGTCGTTGACGATCTTATCAAGCAAGTGAAGAGGGCAATCCGTGAAGATGGTTTCCTCTTCCTTGAAAACTACGGCATCTCATTGGAGCAGGTTCGTTGGCACCAGGAAAAAAACGCACCCGCATCGTCTTTCTAACTTCCCTTCGCCTCACAGCTTCACCGACAGTTTGCCATTGCCCAGTACTTGTACAACAACATTAGTGAGGAAGATAAGGAGCGTCTCCTCTTCAATCCCGAGACCGGTGTATGGTCTGGCTACAAGCACCCATACGGATTCAAGGTACTGCATAATCCTTGGCCACACCCGTGAATTCCCCTTCTAACTTGGCTTTTGAAACCAGCGCGCAAAAGGTCCCGCCGATGGCATCCAGCAGTTCAACTGGTACAAGTCCGACTGGGACAACCTGAGCGAGCGCGTTCCCACTTGTCTTTTGCCATTCATGGACGAAATCGAGGCGTTTTGCAACTACCTCACAAAATCTGTCAACCGTAGACTTCTCACACTCTTTTCCCGCGTTCTCGAGCTCCCAGATGACTACCTCTGGGATAACGTGCAGTCTCATGGCAGCCCTACGGGCGAAGGATATTTCCGTCACGCTCTCTTCCGGCCTGTGAAGAAGGAGACAGAGGAGGCATCCAAAGGAAACCGAAGGTGAGTTGACCCCCTCCCCCCCTCGTTTTTTGGAAGTTGTCATAATGCTAACTCAACCGTGTTATAGTAAGATACACTCTCATCCGTGACTTCCGAAGACGATATAAAGCTAACATAGAATTCCCACTCAAGTGCTTGCCCATTCCGATTTCGGCCTGACCACTCAATTGTTTTCTGTGCCGGTGTCTTGTCTCCAGATCTGGGGCAAGGATGAGCAGTGGTACTATGTTCCATACAGACCCGGTGCATTGGTCATCAACATCGGTGACACACTCGAGATCGTTTCCGGAGGACACTTCAAGGCTACCCTTCACAGAGTCTTCAAGCCTCCTGCTGACCAGCTCCATTTGGAACGTTTGTCGTTGGTATTGTTCAACAGCTCTGTCGGCGACCTCCAAATGGGTCCTGCTATGGGTAAGAAAATCTTCCCCCCAAAGTTTTTGAAGTTACTTACTAACCTATTTTGCAGAGTCTCCTCTTATTCAGCGAGAAGGATGTGTCGATGAGCAGGGCGTTTACCGAGAATTTAAGAAGAGCATGGACAAGGTGGGCAAGGTGCCCACCAACAAGGAGTGGCGCGAGATTCAGATTGCGACCTGCGCAGACCCTACCGACAGCAGCCGTAACCGTGTGGGTGTCCACCAGGCTATTATTGATGGCAAGGTGATGCATCAGCGAGAGTACATGGGAGTAAAGGTTGTTCTTCCTGTCTAAACAAAACATTTACGAGTGGTGCGGTGGGCGATCTTCAGATAACCGATCCAACTAAATGGGGGTTTGTCTGTGCGGAAGCATGATATTATTAGTTTTAGCATATGTTCCAGACTGACGAATTTTACGCAATGTTCATTTATTATTCGCGCTCTCTACTGATTGCCGTACATTAACGTGATTGGGTTGCATTAGAGTCTACTTTCAAGGCTTGTCAAAACGCTCGAGCCGGCATGAAACCACGCTTCACTCTCCAATTTCATAAGGCCGCACGGACTGCGTATGCTCAGGCTGCTCGAACCGATGTCGATCTAGCAGGACCATCACATCAATGTGGCCCTCAGCATCGATGAGCTCAGGGTAACTTTCGCAAAACGGCAACAACAAGTCATTGGAGCAGTATATACATTTTCCCTCCTCGAGAAGGCTGAAGTACCACTGCCCATGGGGTCGTACGGACCAGTCATTTCGAGCGTGGCCTTCCATGCATTTCGTGACCTGAAGACTCGCAAGCTGATGCAAAACTGCAGAATAAAGAGCGAGGATCGTCCCCGGGGTTATGTTAAACGGATGGCCCGCCTCCGGGCGTCGTACACGGGAACCCAGATCCGGTCTCCACCACATTGTGTCTTCAGCATCCTTGAACCGATCTCGATTCAAGCCATCCGGAATCTGCGTGAAGCTTAACCGACTTCCAAGTACACACTTTTCAATATCCCCAAGCCTTGCGGCGACATGGCTGTACCGGTATGCGGTCTTTACCTTTCTGAGAGGTGACTTTTCCAACAAAGGCTTTGACGGATCAGAACCCAGAATGAAAAGGAAACAACTTCGTCCTCTATACTGATCTTTAAAGACGTTTCCACTAAGTGATCCACCCTTAAATGACGGGTAGAAGAGAGGAACGTCGCCAAGGCTGGCTGTTTGCTGTTCCGGGGCTTGCTGTTTCGTTCTGATAGTAGCCCGACGTGTCAGCACAACTTGGCGACTCAAGTGGCACACAGAGAGGAGAGTCAATGCTGCGTGGCCACTTATGGCATTAGATGATGGCTTATCCGGTTGTATCATCATCTTTCTCAATGAACTCGTCCAAGAGTCCCCAGTGCGAGTGAAGTGTGACCTGTGTGTCATGCTCATGATTCTCAAGCTTGTGTCATAACCAGAATCCACGGTCCCCGCCGCTAATCCACTGGGAGGGGGGTGGCTATTCAAGGTACTAGGCACACCGATTGGAAGCTTGTAAGGAATTAGGCCGACAGGATCGTTGGTGCCGAGCTTTGGTATCGGGCAGATGGGTGCAAGGAGACACATCTCATGGTCGGGCCAATGAGCCCATAAGAGGCTGGATTCGGCTATGGCGAGCCCCCATATCAAGCTTTGGATCTCGATAGGGAGATCTGGAAATCGCGAGAAAATGCCAACGACGGGCAGACTCGAGCTCCTGTTGCTAGGCATTGGCGTGTGTTCTTCTTGAAGTTCAACACTTGGTGATTCCTCTTTGTCTCTATTGTCTCTTTCTTCCTCTCGAGATCTCAAATATCCCACAATCAACAACTGGTAGGTATAGACTAGAACGAAATCTCTGCTTTGGCGAAGGGAGGCTATTGTCAGTAGCGACAATTGCAGTGAAGGCTCCGATGAAGTACGGTGGGAGACTGATATAAGTGGACACAAGAAACAAACAAGATGTATGAATTAATAATCACGAACTGCCCGAAGCTCTATGAGACCGTCATTGATGATGATTTCAGACGCGGCTCGTCAAGTTAACGTAAGCGCGACAAAGATGAGACCAGCACTTATGTATACAGGGGCTTTCCGCCGGGGAGATAACCTCAGCTCGATAGGCAAATCCGCGCACATTTCACCCAAACCAGTTAGTCAATCATTAATATATAATAATGGGGGTGGCTTCCACCAATCTGTCCGGGTAGCTTTGCAGCCGGCAAACAGCCCCCGCGAGTCTAGCAGGGCAGCCTAGCTCTTGATTAGAGAATTGAACGAACTGCCTTGCTTCAGATAGATTGGCAGGGCTAGGCCAACTGAGTTGGGGGCCTCTACCGCGCGCCACGCCTCCACAGCCTGTAAGCACTTGCTGGCTAGGCGCCCGTCAGATCGAGGAACGAGGCTGCACTGATCGTAAGCTGGCACCATCGTGTCGCTTAACGCCGTGAGACATAGACAATAGCCGCGAAGAGCTTCATTTACCGCCAGCATCTTACGTGACCTCATGGCAGGCTCGTTCCGATCAGCTGAGACAGGGCTGTTCAAGGATTAGGCAACGAGGTTATTGAAGCTAGCGGAGAATTCCGTCATATGATTTTTGTTTCCGCGATGACAGGGATCTTGAATCAGTCATTCTTTGTTAATATTGGGAGGCTAAAGTGTTGCTTGACAAGGATGTAAGCCAAGGCCGCCTCATAGTGGGTATTGGGAATATTGCCTTTCGGTGGGAGTTCAATTCGGTATTTCGCCGTATCCGCGTCTTTCGCTGCGAACCGATCTAGATTGTAACCGGAACTGAACAAGTGTCCAATCAACGAGCTGTGGTTCGACTTTTGTTCCTTTGGCCCCCTGAAACGTGCATGATATGGAGAGTTAATATATTTCAGTGGATCAGAGAGAAATAGAGACCGGGATGCCCTCAAAGAAGAGAACTTCCCACTTTAGTGGCTTGTGGTCCATATTATTGAATCCGTCACAGCGAAGTGGGAGTCCAAATTCAAGGGAAAATGCTAGTTCATTAGGAAGCAGTGTACATCAAAAGCGTACCATGGAATAAGAGAATGCTATGATATGCAAAGTTGAGATACATTTGAGAGCCAATTACCGACCATAGACACACGGGATATTCGGTGCAACAGTCTCTAGAATATCGCTCTCCTCCCCCTGCCAACCTTCAAGGAAAGTGTATCTTGGCGTAAACCACCACGCCAGTTGCTGATAAACCGTCAGTAGCCATCTGCAGACGCGAGTTGGGGTTTGCTTACCGAACCGAAACTGCTCCATGTGAATCTTGGTCTGCCGGGTGCAGGATCTGGTGATGCTGAGACTACAATGTCCTCCACGTATCGTTTCAGAAGTTCAGGCGCTGCTGAGTAGATGAAAGTTAGAGGCTGGAGGGGACCTTGACGATAGCTGTAGATGGTAGAAATAGTATCCAGACGGACAGGATCCCACATTCCAAGAGTCTCAACGATGCCGCTCTCTCGCTCCACACACATTCCTACGCAGCGGTCTCCAAACTTCTGAACCTTGAGCGTGATGACGTTCCGCAGCGTGGCTCTACTAAGAAATGCAGCAAAGGGATATACACTAGGAAACACTAAAGGCTCAGAATCGCTACGAGACATTGGAACACGGAGCCCAGCCTGTTTTAAACCGAGGAGCGGACTACCTAAACACACGCCAAGGGTGTTGATCTTCCCTGGGTTGATGTTGGTTGGGTCGATGAAGAGCCCCAAGATTTCCCGAGTCCCCTCGGATTCAAATGATGAGATGTGCAGAGGCTGTAAAAAGGGGAGTATAAATGTGCCGAAATACAGAGTCCTTGATTTCGAAGTCCGAACCTATTGTTATTAGGCACGACTACCCATACTTTCCGAAACGGCTCGACTTACAAGAAGGAAAGGGCCTTTCCGGACCATTGGTCGCTCAGGTCCCCTAGTTATCAGATGAATCGACGTCATTCGTTCTCCCGGCTGAAAGAACCGGGTGACTGGGAAGTTCTCTTCGTCCTTAGCCGATGGTTTAATTGCTACACGATCGCCTAACTCCAATTTGGGACCACCCTCATTGATTTGGATTTTGTAAATGGCTTCAATGTTGCAAACTACCGTTAAACTTTGGATCTCAATATGGGATAAATCAAGGTATTGTGCTAGACGTGCGTTGGGATTACCGAGGATCTGAGCACCTGGAATCTTCATATCTGCAAGCAAATACTTGCCCCTAGAAGGTAAGGCCCTGTCGTGGTCGAAAAACAAGTGAGCCAAGTTAGTGGGCGGTTGCAAAAGTTCCTCATCAGTAAACCCAACGCTTATTAGTTTGAACCCCTACACCCATCAGCATGAATCAAAGTTCCCAATCAACCCGTGGACTCACATCAGATACTGTGTGAAGTCTAGTGAGATCATCGCCCTTATACGTAGCGGTCCATTTCCTAGGTCCAAAGCCCAGCCAGGATGAAGTTGAATTGTCCTGATAGATGACACGAAGGGCAACGACTCCGTAAGTTCCGAGGGACACTTGTATACCGTATACAGGCTTATCCTGTAGAGCAATCTCTTGTTCGAAATTTGAAGCGTTATCCGACCCGATATTCGTCAAGCATTCTTCACCAAGGATAATTGTAGAGTTAGCGCGAAGGGAATTCACCGAATGATGCGAGACTGGGTGGTTAACAATTCCACTATTGAGCCCGGCCTTTTCATCCAGTTCATTCAATGTAAGAGAGGTTCCGGCAAGGAAACGGAAAAGGCCCGAGACGTTTCTGTAGACGAGCCCTTGTAACTCCACGGGTAATCTTCTTCTTATTGTTTCGACCAACTGTCCTAATTCTGTTGTAGTTGATAGTCCAGCTGGAAGACTTGGACGAGAACTGGTGCCATTGAGTGGTCTTGACAGGTACCAAGACATGAGGGGACGGGTGCGCTGTATGAGCCGTCGAACGGAGCTTCTGGAATACCCAGGTAGGGTTTTTGCGAGCTCTAGGCATTGGACGTGTGTGAAGTGTAAAGTATCCAGAAGATCACAGCTCGTGCAGATCATGAAATCGAAACAAATGTAAACTTTGGCATTCTCAGCTGACCCGAGCAAGCTGGCACACTGCAACTCTAGTATGGGTTTCCAGGCTGGTCTTCGAAGGTCTGTTTGGACCGTAATCATTTGAGACAACTCCAACTGCAGCGGCCGGGATTCAAAGCCTGGCAGCACAACTCAATTATTTAAACTATACGTTGCAGGTTCGGGGTGGTTCAAATCCCTGCTTACCGCAGATAAATTGAAATGCCCAGTCACTCTGTTCATCTGCCTCGAGCTCCTGGCCGCCCAATCTTTGACAGATTGTGCCTATAGGGAGTGAACAGCGGCAGAGAGAGCAAAAGGGCTCTGCTCGTATATGTCGCCCCATGAGGACTAAAAAATGCACCAAGAGAAAAGGTGCAAGATATTGGCAGGCACGTCGACGCGCGGAAACGCGTTGCGGACATTCCCTTAATGTATGCAGCCTGTACACATCTGCCCACGCTAAGGTAAGGATTGCTGTTTACGCGCTATTGGTTAATATAATTGGGGTGATTGAAGCACACCGACATCCGTTATACGCGAGCAAAGGGGATGGAAATGATTGATGGTGCTGAGTGACAGTTGATGATTGACAAAGATCACGTGAGTGAGGCATTTCTGCCACCTCAGAAGAAATTCTATCTACCCTATATCGACGCTTGTGTGACCATCACCGAGATTTTGAGACTGGAGATGACATCTTTACCAGTGTATTTCGCTGCCTATCCTTAAAAAGAATTGTCTTGTCATTTTATATCAATAATTTTTATTTTCTTTTATTTCTCGCTTTTCGCGAAGTATCAGGTGACACAATCTTTCTTTATCGTACCACTCACCACTAATTTGGGGAGTCTTCGATAAAACTTGAGCCGTTATTTTACGATTGGCACAGAGGGGTATTTTCACTGTTATTCTTCACAAATGTACTGTTTTCTTTTTCTGAATTATGTTAAGATAACCATCTAGAGTATGTAAGAAATGCACAAAGAGGAGGGGAAATGCATGAATGTCTCAGTTGTTGACGTAATATTGCACCCACCAGGCTTCAGCCGTAAATCATCTCACCTCATAAATATTTTCTTTTTTTCCCTCTCTCTTCTTTTTTGCTTTTCTCTCACGGAGTAGTACCAGTCTACAAGAGAAGAGCAAAAATTCAAACCTCAATCCAAAATCTGATAAGCCTGCACTTGAAATTAATCATGGCTGTGGTAAAAGACCTCCCAATGGAGGTCCTACTCCATATCCTTTCCTTTTTGCACATTCTGACCATTGAGCGGGTCGCCAAAACCTTCACGCACGCCCTCACCGACGTTTGCCTCCCCATACTCGAGCCTGTTCTCCAGAAACGGAGGGAGAAAGCTCGGTTCATAGCACGGTTCGGAATGATCTCCAACATCGCCACTGACGACGCTGTGAACTATCTCAATACTTCAAAAACTCGCCTGCCTCTTCAGATCTCCCCAAAGGCCGTCGTCCGCAGCCAGCCGGAGATCGCTGATGCCTTGGACACTCTTGTCCTTCGTGGGGATTTGAGTTGGCTGAAACCTCTCAATCCGGAGATGGCTTCACGGATGAACCGCGTGTTTGAGCACTCGCCGCCCACCGAGGACTGGGACTCAACCTACAATGACCTTCTCAAGGCTGCAGAGCTCGTTGGAATTACCATCCCGCCAATCTTCCTCAAGTTCATCCGTGACCCGGAGCTGGTGAAGCGAATATGGACATATAGTCATACTCACAGGATAGGGTTTCGCCTCCAGGAACCGCTGCTGGTAGAGGACCGGGGGGGTTATTTCCTTCCCTTCTACTACGACAACACTCAACCGAGGGCACAGACAGGATTGTATTTTGAGCCAGGAAAGGACGGGCACTATTGTGTGCTCTCTCAGTGTAAGCCGAATGCACCCCGAGGCAGCGTTGTCTATGGCCCAGAATGTGAGAAGCCAGAGACACGCTTCTATCCCAACCACGAATGCTGGCTGGAAGAAACGGATTTTGAAGCTTTCTTGCATAACCTGTACTATACCAAATTGCTGCGCGAAATACGTTTCAGTGGAAGAAATCCGCACGCGCCTGAACCGCCTGAGGAATTGAAGGATTTTCTGAGAGAAATATACTTTCGAAAGGACAGTGAATAGAAGAGTAAGGCTTCTCACCTGTGTCAGGTGGCCAAGTCTCATGTGGCTCGACATAGCTCCCTTCTAGCTGTTTGGGCTATCCTGGCTGGCTTTCCTTCATAAACAGCACGGAAGAGGCATGTCCAGGTCTGATCTGAAGCTTCGGGAAGTCATTGCATCAGATAATGCAAAGCAAATGTGATATAGTTCTGAGAGAAAGGAGATACAGAGAAACCAACTGTGCAGGAGTTGTCCTCTCGTTTATACCACTTACATGCTTAAAATGGTTTGGTTACGATTATCAAAGATTCACGAAGACATCAGGGCAGTCTCTTTGCCATATTTTCCAGTATGTGTTGAGAAGATGGAGATAGCCTACCAAATAGATTCACCTGCTTAATCGCTGTTATCAAATATTACGCTACTGGTAAGATGGTAGCTCGTCGACCCGTGAAGCTGAGATCAAGGCAATGTTACGTTGTAAAAAGCAGAGGCGGTGAGACTGGAGAAGTGTGTCGTCGTGCACAAGCAAAGGGCGACCCAATAATGTGTAAACATACGCGCTTTACCTGAGTTCTTGACATAAGACGTGCAGCTTACCTATACTTAATCCACTGCGGGTAACATGCTCGTCTCCAATCGGCGGCTTTCTGGAGTTTTTGACAGGAAAATTCTGCCGAGGGTTGCCATAGTGGCTGTACCATATGTGTGGACTGGTGACGGCATTTGCCTCTGACTGGTAAACAGGGAGTTTATCTAAGGGCAACATCTGCCCTCGGTATATGCAGGCAATAATATCACGAGGGAATCCTTCTGTGTGATAGGTCCTTGTACGATATCGGCCCGACCCTATCCTTGGCGGCTAGTCTGGGGAAGCTGGTTCCGTCCACACTGATGGAATATGCACGATGATCAAGTTTGGGTGCAAGCCAAAGTAGCGCTCCTAAATGGGCCGAAATCGAAACTGCACGTGTGATGATTGCGGGCTAGATCAATGCCAGGGGTAGTGTTCGACTGTGCCTGAATCCCGTGCAGCGATTATTCGAGATGCCAAAGTCAGTTCGTTGCTGCATTCCTATTCGGGTTGGAGAATCTTGAATGGTCATGTCATAACAAGGGAGTTTTCCTCGACTTATGTCCTTCCTCAGTCTGCGTATAACGTGTAATGAGAGTGGTAGGAGATGACACCACTCTCCTTTGGCAAGTAGTCTCCTGTGTCAGACTCCGGGTCTCGGCCTGGAGGCTTGGCCGGACTGGGTCGGAATTTATCATCCTATGTTCCTTGGTGTTTGTCTTGAGTCCTCTTACAAGTCCCATAAAATCCCAGCCACGTCGTATGATCTGCGAGGGCTAGCATGATGATCAGGGTAGCATGCCCCTCGTTATTGATGTGCCGCGCGGGATAGCTACAGCCCTTGAAGCGACGGATTAACTGCTATCCCCGCACTTCTTCTGCCGCTTACTTATTCTTGTTTCACACCTCTTCCTTCAAGGACTAATATAACCATAGAGAGATTCAGGGGTGATGGGATGAACCAACTTTGGATCGCCCGCGATATCTCCGAACTGCCTGAACAGGCCAACGGCCTCTTCTATTATTCGCCCATTGCCAGGGTGGGGTGCATAGATGGAACTGGTGTGACCCCCATCATGCCATTGAAGGTCACTTTCCTAGTTTGTCTAGGAGGCCACGAGGGTGTTCCTGATTACCTTCCACTTTGTTCCTGTCAAGGCTGCCAATGGGAATCAGGTTCGGCCACACGTAATACCAGTCTTCGACCAACCTGGGAGTCTGCTCAGCGTGTAAGGCTGACCTACTATTACTGCGCCGGAGTATCACATAGCGGTCACTCTCTACGGCCTGCTTGCATCCTGGCTTGAGATTTGAGGGTTTATCCATTGGCCACCAACGTCAGCTTTCCTTTGACCCTAGTAACGTCACATTACTCTATCAGGAATCTCAATCAGATAGACGGGTCAGGTGTTTTATGCTAGGCGGGGGCTTCTTGGGTAAGGCAATGATGAATTGTTCTCAAATGAAACGCTGTCATGAGATGGAAGAATGCCGAATGAATTCATGTAGTCAGCCACTGGTATTTAAACGCCGAGACCTCCTCCAGAGTTTCTCATCTCTCAACCCGCATCAACAGGCACACATTCCCTGGCCATTTTGTTGAACGTGGGCCATAGTCAATCCTTCCTACAGTCTATATTTCGTAGAATCTACCATGCGGTTCTCCACGCTTCTGTCGGCTTTAATTGGCTTCACAGCCACTGCTTCTGCCAAGCCAATCAGCATCGACATCACAAAGAGCCTGATCCGAGACAACAACGGCTTCACAGAAGTGGCTCCAGTTGACATCACAGAGGTTGTCATCACTAAAGACAACACTCTGAACGGCACCCACACCGGAGACGAGCTCATCACTCGCCCTCCCACCGAATCGGACCAGCAATCCATCCAGGCAGTCGATGCTGTTGTCGCCACACTCCCTCTGCAGTTCACCAACAACTTTGGTAGCGCTGTCAACGCCTACGTAGTCGGATATGACTCCAACTCGGCTGTTGTCTTTGTTCGTCAGGACGGTAGCCTCGTTTACCCAAGCTCGGGCGGCTCAGCCGTCCCTGTCCCCATCACCACAAACGTCAAGATCCCCGTCGCCGCGGGCCAAGTAGCTACCATGAGAATTCCCATTGCCATGCACTCGACACGCATTTACTTCTCTGTTGGCGACTTGAACTTTGGTGTTGTCAAGACTGATATCGGAGAAGGCCTGGTCCAGCCTGACGAGAAGAACCCAACAGACCCCAGCTCTAAGCTCAACTGGGGATTTGTCGAGCTTACACTCAATCCTGACGGTAGCTTGTTTGCCAACATTAGCTATGTGGACTTCATGGGTCTTCCCCTTGGAATGAAACTCGATGTCAACGGTGGTTCCGCCCAGACGGCATACGGTCTCAAGGCCAACTCCGTCAACTCTGCTTGCAGCGATCTCTCGGCCCAGCAGGCCCAGGATGGAGCTCCCTGGGCTGCTCTTTGCCAGTCCAACTCTGGCGGCCTCATCCGAGTCATCTCCCCTAACTCATATTCTGTGACCAACCCCAACGGGTTCGGCACGTACTGGGATAACTACATCAACCAGGTCTGGAGCAAGTACAGCAACGAGAATCTGATCATCGATACCCAGGCTGGATTCGGCAAGCTGAATTGCCGCGTGTCTGGAAACCAAATGACCTGCGACGGCGGTGACAACCGCGCCTACCCCAAGCCCACTGCTCTCGATATCTGGGGCTGCAACAGCGGTCCTTTTGCCAGGCAGGCGAGCGACAACGAACAGCATGTTCGTGTCATCCCCCGTCTCTGCTCTGCTTTCGTCCGTAGCACTCTGCTCCTGGCGGGTGGCAACGTCCAGCCAAGCCTCCCACAGAGCACCTACTACTCTGTGAACCCATCCAACCACTACGGTCGCCTCGTGCACAAGTACGAGATTGACGGCAAGGGATACGCGTTCCCTTATGATGATGTCAACCCTACCGGGAGCGAGAATGCTGAGGGTTCTGTTTCCCATGGCTCGCCTAACCTTCTCACCATCTACATCGGTGGCCAGTAAATGATGTTGGGTTAAATGTATATATGATGCCCTTATATAGGAAGAACCAAAATCAGATGTATATATGATGTCGTTTCAATGACCGAACATGCAGTGAGATGCTATAACTAAAAGATATAGATCTGGTCTAACACAATAGGAACACACGACTTTAACCCAGGCATCAAAAACATAATTTATCCCAACCATAAATTTAGAGTGTGCACTTTGTCGCCCAACAATGGAAGGCCAACGGAACTAACCGGTCAAACTTCAGAGCCACCAAAGGCTGTTGCTCACATGACTTGATAACCTTCAATGTAATAACTTGAGCGTGGCAAATGAAGCCAGTTTACTCTAAACCGCTCTTTCTACTTGTCAGGGCCAACGCACCTTGAAAATCAAATTCTAGACTTGACGAGCCACGAGTTCATTCGGCATGATTGTGGCGCGCCACTGTCAGTAGAACTCAATATAAAATTCCACCCGACGATATGACACAGTTCACTAACAAGACACGCTGTAATGCTGGTTTGGTATAAAATGCCAGAGCCCGCGCAGTCTAGGCTTTATTCCTCTGCCAGATCTTACTCTCTCATCCAAAAATTCGGTTGCAGATTTCTCTCACTTACGGGCGCACCATTCTGTTTCGTCTTGACCTTGGCTTCAACGGTACACTCACACGCGGCATAATGGCTGTGCAACTTTCCTTCGAGTTTAAACTAGCAATCATATGTATTGGCAGTTTTCTCATCTCCTTTATATGCGCTCTTTGCTTTCGTCGGAGAATTATATTGGTGATACCGCGTCGGCGGAAGGAGCACACAATGCTGGGACCATCATCTGAGGAGCAAGGGAGAGTCGCTGGCACGACTCTCCCGCCTGTTGAACTGCAGCCGCCACCGTATGCGTTCCATGGGGATGGAGGCAGGGTATAAGCGATACCCTAGGACAACACTCATTTGTGTCGACGAGTCTGGTCAATTCTTCATCAACCATGATCTTGTAGCCTCAAGCCCAAACAGCCAACCTCCCAGTTACAATTCAGCAAAATCACCTTGCCAGAACGCACAAAATGGCTATGATATGATCAAAATAATTCCTCCCAATTTCCTAGCAATGAGCGCCACGGCTGGCAGGTTGGCGTGAACTCCAGAACATGACTTGTTCATCAGTAAGTGCATGGTTTCCTGGATTTGGTCAGAACCGATGCTCATTTCAGACTTATGGGGGGCAGCAGGCGGGATGTTGCAGCTGTGGCTGGAGCAGCAGCGATTGATCAAGAGTCCCGAGATCGACGGGAGTTCGTTTGGGCATGAGGTCTTACGGTTACTTGGGCAGTGCCGAAGAAAATATGTTTATTATTGAAGCATAGACCACCAAAGCATCTTTAATTCACCACTCTTCTAAATTAAGTGTATTTCACTCTCATGCCGAAGTTTATCGAGAATCCTGACGTCTAGTCTTTCTTGATTGAGCTTGCTGAATAGTGCACGCTATTCCGGAACTTATAGGAATGCCTGGCCAAGCAAAACCAGTCCCGCGTCAATCTCCTGGTGTGTTATGGTAACTGGAGGCACAAAGCGAATCAAAACTCCTATTCCTGATAAGTTAACAGCATTGCAGAAAGGGTGAAGCTGCAGAGCCTGGTCAGCAACAGCTTGTCTGAGTCTAGGACGAGGACCTTTATGTTCAGCGTTAGAAATGATCTCAGGAGCCTAGAATAGATTGCAGTCGTAGATCTTACCGAAGTGCTAGTACTTCTCCTAAAGTCCAAGGAGACTGCTACGAAATTGCGCACTGTGCTCTGCAGCCTTCTGCGAGATATCGCGCTAGGAAGGAGATTTAGCTAGGTATCACTACCCCTTTACTCTTACGGCTAGCTGAGTATATAGTTGAACATGAACTATGGTGCTATGATCTTGAACCTCCTAGTGTGGCATGTGGACATTCTTTAATACTGCTCTGGTTAATTCCGACCTAGTATTGAGAAAACCTGGCTTTTCTAAACCCTTGGGCATGGATCTAGCTCACTTTTAGGCAACATACTCGACTAGGGGAGTGGCTATATTATGAAGAGGCTGGTCTAGCTCGCATATATAGCGCGTCAGGACCTTGAATACTTCTGGGTGGGAGTGGCCTATAAGTGAACTTCCTAGATATGAAGTCCAAAATCATCCGACTCTCTAAGTCATACATCCTAGTATTCTAGGCCTTATCATGAAAGCCAGCGAGAAGAAAAACCCAGGTATAGAGGTACTTATCTGGGCTTAGGCTAGATTAGAATTTGGGCAGATTGCTTTGACTAACATTGTGACGGCTTGTTGAGGTATATACTAATCGAGGATTGAAAAGATGGAGGAGGCAATTATCTCCATGCTGGTACTTAATCATTTTTTCTCTTATCATCATACGATGTTTAGCTACGATCATATACTTCAAAAAGACACAAGATACAGAGATCTTAGACTAGGCAGGATCCCGCGGCGCTGTCACCTCGATTGGATACAGTCTGGGCGAGATGGGCGCATTGACCCAATTTGTGGCAGATGACGAGCGGCGCCTGCTTGGAACGTCGTGTCCATGCTATTGAGTGAAAGAGTCGTCCATAGAGTATATTGGCAGATTGGCAACTCACGAGGTCAAGACCTGAATGGGAATCTATAGCGAGCAGGGCTAGTGTCGAGCAAAAGAAGAGCCAATTTCCAGATTTCATTTCAGCAATGTTAGAGTATCATCTAACCCGCAACGATGCAGAGTGATCAATTGTTGATTTCACAACCAAGCCATCAGGCCTTATCCTACTGATAAGCAACCTTGAAGGTTTGGATCGGTATGTATACGCGGTAATAATGTCAATGAATCGTAAACATGTCTCTCATTCATATGTCAGACAAATAAACAACGAAGTAATCGCAGTTTTTCCACTCTTGGGAGTATATCAATGGCTTTGATGTCGCCAAGTCGTTTATGTTGGGGATACGAAACTAAGGGAGAGGTAAGGGAAAATCGACAATCGACAGGTACGGCCGTATGTGGCTCTCTCGCGCAATACAGAGACGCAATAGGATTATCATCAACACAAGTTTTAGCATCTCCAAAGCGGTTATAGGTGTAGAATGATAGGCGCGATGGGAAAAACCAACAGACAAGTGCTCATCAACCCCCTACTTGAGAGGGCCGATATCTCTGACTGAAACATCGACCCTCAATCGGTAGAGCATGTCTTCAGCACAGCATGGCAGCTGAGGTTCTTCTTCAAACTTTTTTCGCCATCTTCATAATGGCTGCGACTAAAAGCAATCGCGTAACGGTTCCAAAGGCTTCTACTGCTGATGACCTGGCCTGATCGCGCCAGACAAAGCACCAGTTAATTGGGGGCAGTGGTAAAGATTAGGGACACTGAAGCCAAAGTATAGCGGATTTGTCTTGCCCTGAAAACAAGCACTATTGTGCGTGTTCCAACAGAGGAGAATACCGGCTCTTACAAAATCGTGCCTATCCTTGCTATCCCAGGCCTGCTTCAGCTCATGGTGACTCCATGGTGGAGCTACAAATCCAAGAGATTGAGCAAGACTTTGTGCAGTGGTTTTTTGCCGTGAGCAAGCAAGGTCTTTGTATCTACAAAGCAATTGATGACATTAACCCATGTGAGTTGGATGTTGCATGATGAGGTGGAGGCCTCTCGCGTACCCCGGTCTCAAAGGACCTTACGCTCCCCAGCTTCGTGACTTGCATTTCAACTTCCCTTTTCGTTTGAAGTACTTCGCCTGTGCAAGTGGATTTGAGTCAGGGAAGTGGCACACTAAGAAGCCAAGCTATGAGCAGATCGGCCTAGAGTAAGAGAAACACTAAACCCCTTTACCAACAGTTTAGCCTCAGATCCAGCCACGCCGACGTTAGTCCGTCAAGCTTCCCGTCAGTGACGTGTCTTTGTAAGATTGACGTAGAGGACAGTGACTTGAACGTAACTTGGTGGGAAAAGGCTCAAGGTTGACCAGAAATGAGATCACGACGAGGAGCTCGTCTGGTCATGTGCACAGAAGACTTTTTTCTCTGAATGAACGGGGGCTCTGAAATCAATAAATCGAAAAGAGGATGTGACAATCCCAAGCTCAGTCAGTCCATGTCATCTTGACCATGTGGGTTCTGGCTGAAACCAGCGCGCTCTTTCGAAGGATCGGATGCAAGCCGAGTTTACTGGAACCAAGCTTAAAAACTTATTTCCAATTCCACTACGCCCATCGGGAATATTCAAATATGGCACAACCTGAGCCAAGGCAAGGTTCGCCGGATGGCTGGACTGCGGGGAGTTTATGGAGAGCAAACCGCTAGCTAAGATTTATTATGCAGTATTATGCACAGAGAGCATTCCCTAAAACCTACGAGTGGAGCACTTCTTCACACCATGATTGCCGACAGATCCGGGTTCTCGATTGCGTGATTGCAGGTATCGATGGCGTACTGGCAAACCCTGTTGACTGCTGTGAAACTCGAATGTCTGCCATGAATGCAACTGGCAATGCTCTCAGACAAAACGTGCCGTCTTCCGCTAAATCTCGTGGCAATAATTTTCACAAAATTGCTGTACGGGGGCCTAGGGCGACTGGGCAAGGTGTCACTGCATTTGATATTGAAGATGACTTATAAAGTACATCTGAACGGGACGCCATGCAGCCACTTCGCTAAGGCCGGTGCGGGACGTTTCTATGTGTCAAGCTGAGCCAGAGCAAAGAGACGCCGCTGACCTGATGATCTATTTCCAGTCAAGTAATCAACGTAGCGTGTTGCACTTCTGGACAACGGCCATCCTGCCTTGGCGTAGAAGTCTCTGTCCAGTTGATACAACATGGAGATCGATCTGTGCCATGCCCAAAACAAGAGCCCACTACAGCTCCTGCAAGCACGCCATGGCCAGCATCAAGGCCCGAGGCGAATCTAATAAAAGACCCGGCCCATGACTCTCCCCACTACCCGTTTCCATCTCGGCCACGGCGATCCAATCAGAGTTTCTCTGACCG